GGGCTGGGCCGCCCTCGGCGGGACCGCGGAGGGGAGGCGGGAGGCCGGTACCGGGGGGCGGCCCGCGAGGTCCTCCGGGCCTCGGCTCGACCCGGGGCGGCTCGCCCGCGCTTTTCGGGCCGGGTCCGGCGCCTTCCTGCGGGCGGAGGGCCGCGGGAATGCCGGGCAGCGGCTCGGGCCGGGCGCGGGGAGCGGAGCGGGCCGGCGGGGACGGGACGAGCGGGGCTCCGCCAGGAGCGGGGCGGCGAGAGGCGCGCGGCGCGGGGGGAGCGCGGCTGTGCCGAGCCGGGGCGCGTTGCGGACTTTGGGGCTGCCCGCTTTGTGCGGCTCCCGCTCGTGTGAGCGCCCCGAGCGAGCACCGACCTATCCCGCATTTTCTCCGCATTGTTTTTCTCCTGATAGCTCGGGGTTTGCTGCAGGCTCACGCGCGGACTGACTTTGTCCCTTCCGCTCTGGAGGGAAACTGCAGCGATTGGAACAAAAATCGTCTATTTGTTTGCTTAAAGTAGAGATGATTATGTTCCCTATCCTTAAGTAAGAAGGCCTGCGGGTCTGCATTGGTTCTCGCGTGCAGAGCAGTCCCCCAAGAGAAGACATTATGGCCGTGCTTTAAGGCCGTTTGTGTGTACAGAGGTTGTACGGCTTTAGCTGCGTCTGCACGGCTGGAGCACTGCAACTTATCTCCTTGTAGATATTGGAGCTGCGTTGTCTTAGGGAAGGGAGGGGAGAAGCTCTGGGCACACTTATTGGTACTTATTGGCACAAGGGCACCTGATGCTGCAGTTTGTATTTTCCTGTTTTAAAAGCAAATTGGAAAAAATGAAAAATAAAAGGGACACCGCTAGCTGTTGGAGTTCTCTTGGCATAAAAACTTGCTTGACCAGGATTTAAATTAGTGGTGTGGTACATAGACCTCTAATAAACTTGTCGCTGTTACCAGTATAACTTCTAATTGGAAGTTTTATCTAGATTTTTTTTTTTTTTTTAATGGGAACTTGGAACTGAAGTTTGGTTAAAGTTCAGTCTGTAAAGGTGTCCTGTGGTAGTTCTGCAGTTCCTGGGACTGTCTCAAATAACACTTATCTGGTGATGTTACACTACTTTCATAAAGACTTTTTTTCCCCTAAAAATCTCCTAGAACTGACGGCATTACCCAGTGTAGGCATGCAGAATGTATGCACAGGATTCCAGCTGCGTATTCATTTATTCTTGGTTGGCTGTGTGGTTAGAAATTGAACAATGCTGTTGTAAGTGGCAAAGTTACAGAAACATTATGGCAATATAATAACAGGCCTGTTCTGCTGAAGAACATATTTTCATGAGAAATAGTGAGAAGTTCTGTCTGTGTAGCCTTGGAAGTGCCTACTTGAAGCAGCAGCAGGAATACTCCTCCCATCAGACATCCCCTGTCTGTTTGGTGTTGTTCTGCAGCGTGTAGCTGAGCACTACAGTTGTGGCCCCAAGCACAGCTGTTGGGCATTGCAAACAGGTACGCCCTGTGCTGTGCTTGCTGACTCCAGCCAGGTGAAAGGGTGACCTGCACACTGCAATGGGGTTAAATGACAGGCAGCAGCTTTTGTAAGTTGCAAATAGAGGTGCAGATTGAGTCTAGTGCCCAGGTGTAGGGCTCTACACCTACACTTGGTAGCTACAGGAAAAGCATGGAGACTTCTTCCCAGACATCTGAAACCTTTCCCAAAAGCACAAGGTGTAACATCCCAGTTTACCACCACTGTGCGCTGCTGCTCCGGCTTGTCTGTCCAGTGGCTCAGTGTGGTTTCTGGGACTGGGCTGCTCATCCAACACAGCCCCCTCTGCAGCACGGCTCCCTGTGACTTCTGCTCATCTGGCAGCACTGCCCTCCAGTGCTCCTGGCCCTGAGCCTTGCTGGTGTGCTGCAGCCACTGCTTTCAGGGCAGAAGTTTTGTGGCATCGTGGTGTCTTTGTCCACTAGGTGGAAGAGAGCCCTCATGGCAGCCTGGTAGTTAACTTCAGAAGAGGTGTTCAGCTGTGTGGCAATCGGGTGTGCTGCCCCAGCTGTGGCTGTGAGCAATCTGCCTCCATTTAAATTTGAGCTGGGCACCACCTGTGGTGGCAGTGGTCTTTTATTACTGCTTCAGCTCACGGGTCACAAGCAAAGAGCTGTACATCAGGACAGGGCTGCTAGCAGCAAGTGGATCTGTTGTGCTCTCCATCTTCCTTAAGGAGAGCTGCTAACATTGCTATTCTGAATGTTTGAATGGGTTTAGAGCTGTGTATGATACACAAGGTAAGCACATCAGTGTCTGTATGTCTATCTGGAGGCAGGCACTAGCCTTAACTCTGTTTATAGTATCTTTTGTATGGTTCAGTTTGTCCTCTCTGAAGAATAGTTCTGTGCTGATGAATACATAATTTGTTAAATACTTATTTTTCATTTTGAACTTCAGGTGACAGGAAGTCAAAGCTCTTGTAATACCAAATTTTAAACATCTGACGTTGTCTCCTATAATGTTGTTGTACTTCATCACATTGTTATGCAGTGTCTAACTCGGTGAGCTGTTCAGCTGGGCTTTTTTTTATGGTATATATTCATGTCTATGGCAGTTTGTTGGTATGAAACGTTGCCTTTTGGTTCTGTAGTGAAGCTCGTGGATTCTTGGCACTGTGTGTAGGACTGAGCAGCAGACAAGATGGTGCATGAGCTTGTTTCCTCTCCCAGCTCACGGAGAACCCTTTGAACTTAGGTGTAGGTTCTCTTCTAACGAGAGCCATGGAAATATTACAGGGGAATACAGACTGCTCTGAGAGCAAGGTGTGAAATTCATTACGTAGCTCTTGGTATTTAACTCATGTTTTGTGGTACTAGTGCAAATAGAAGGTATGAAAGTAGCTTCTGGTGGCTGAACAGAGCTTCTAACCTGGTCAGGGGTTAAGAATGCTGAACAGCTGACAGCTGTATTTTGTGCTTTTTTTTTTTTCCTCTTCAGAATTGCATTGGAAAAGCCCTGATTTGGGGTGTTTCCTTTACCTTTAGGTTATCTGAGGGTAACAGAGCCCTGGGACAGGCTGCCCTGAGGTCTTCTCTGGAGGCATTCAAAACCTGCCTGGACGTGATCCTGTGTGACCTCATCCAGGTGTTTGTGCTCTGGCAGGGCAATTGGATGAGGGGATCTTCTGAGGTCCCTTCCAATCGTTCTGTGATCATGAATTACCTTAAGGCACTACTGTAAGTGCTGTGTGCTTCTGGATAGCTCTGTGTTGCTCTTCTGTTTAATACTTTCTGCCTGTGTGCAAGTTCTACAATTATTTTATCCACTGAAAGAAATTCAGAGGGTGTAAAACGCAACTTAATTGTGCTGCTTGTGATTTTCCCCCTGGGTTTGATATGCTGACAGGCCTTGTACATGTTGGTTGCTTTTGTTCCACTGCAGGCAAGTGGATTCCACATCAGTGTGGAGATAGCAGCGTAAAGATCCGTGCTGGCCTTCTTTCCATGGCCTTTCTGTGGGAACATGCTGCTGTAGACAGTAAAATGTAATGGATGGCCACGTTTGTGCGTGTTAAGCAAAGTGTGGTTATTTGCTTTAATTGTTTATGTTGTTAACTTGGATTTAATGTGTTTTTACAGTGTACGTATGTCATTGCAGTTGGTGGATTAAAGTGCAATTTAGTGTGTTCATAGACTTGTGGCAGAAATAAGTTGTAATTAACCTTTGTTTCCTTATCAGACAAGCTAAAATACTCAGTTTTGCCTTGTAATCTTTAGCCTTGGATTTGCAGGCAGTAAACAGGTTATTTGCAGGCATCCCAGGTGTCCCTTTGATGGATTTAGCGCAGTGTGGAGTGATTCTGTGATTCAGATGCAGGATGGAGGAATATTCCCTTGACCAGTAATGTCATTAGTGCACCGAGACGCCAGAAGTGACAGCCCTGGCTGCAAGGCCTTGTGTGCACTAACATGTTCTTCTCGGTGTGGACTGAAGTTGTTCGCTGCTTGAGCCGACATCGCTGGTGTCCTCTGAAAGTGCTCGGGTGCTTCCCACAGCCCAGCACAGTGCTGGGGTTGAAATGCAGTTAGGGGAGAAGCCTGGGCTTCGTGGAGATTGATGCTATTTTAGACAAGGCTTTTACCTGTCACGTGCATGAGAACCTAACAGGCTTTTCTTTGAGTCCAGGCTGAAACAAAAGCGCAGATGTCGCGTCACTCACATTCCTGCAGCTCGGGAGAAGCAGTGAGGGGCAGGCACTGCCAGCAGCAGCTGGGGCGGGGGGCACGAGGCAGGCCTTGTTACTTATGGGGACTGAATGCTTTTCCAGGGTGTGGGGCAGGGACACCTCAGCCTGGCTGCACACTGCTTGTCTGGCAGCCATGTGAAGCCTTTGAGCAAAGTCCGAGAAGAGCAATTTACAGGAATCCCAGGGCTCTGCGGGCCCAGTGCTGTGGGATGGGCTGGTGTTGTTTCCTAGGAGCCCTCATGGTGTGTGCTCTGTGTGCTCCAGCTGAGGTGTCTGCAAACAGAGTACTGGAGACGAGGAAAGGAACCGTGTAATCAGGGCTGGCAGATCAGGGCTAGCATTTGATTTTGCCTGGAATGGGCAAACGGACTGCCCAGGATGGAGGGAGCTCGTGTCACAGTGACATCCTCGTTGTACAAAGCAGCATGCTACCACAAAGGTGTTGGCAGGCTGGCTAAGCTGAATCCTTCCTCCAGCCTTACCCCAAGGGGTGAGACAATAGGAGATGTATTGTGTTTGTTTTCTGTTGGCTTTTGCTTGCCTGTTTTAGCAAGAAACATATCTGTGAAGTGAAAACGTCTTCCCTTTTAATTGGTATTAAAGTTGAGATATCCTGAGTGCACTGCATTGCATTAGAGTATGAACAACTGCTGTGTGAGATATTTGTTCCTGATGACTGCCAGAACGAGGGTTATTGGTGCCTGTGGCTTCTGTCCTGCTCATTTAACGCAGTCATACCGTCAGAACTCGGCTTCTGGAAATAGCCCTGAGAGGTGCAGGGGGCTGGAGACACATTCCCACCCAAAGTGAGGGGTTTTGGTGATGAAAGAAGAGCTGTAATGGGGTAATAAAAACTCAGCGGTAATTCCATCTCTTGGTGTCCTGCGGAAGGCTTCCAAGAGCTGTCCTGTCACTGGGATGTGAGCATCTCACCTGTGCTGGCAGGCTGCTGGGGAAGCACTCAGCACATGGCAGGAGCTTGGGGGCTGCACCAAAAGTCAACGCCTGTTTGGCCTGTAAAAATAGCTATTCCAGAAAAAGAGCAACGTCTGCAAAGTGTGATTTATTGCATCTTAAAATATTAGGACATGCTGTGTGCTGTTGTGTTGTTAGCTGCTCGGTTCATTCCGTGTTCTTTTTAGAACAGCTCTGTGGTGTTACTGTCACTTAGGGAACCCTGGGCATGGGAAGATTTTGTGTATAAATAGGTTTTGGTCAGTATTGCAGAACAGGTTTGATCCAGTCTTCCTTCTCATGTTGGCCTTTGTGGAGTGGTGTTTGTGCTGAGCTCTGGCAGAGCGACTCCAACCTTTCTGCTGTCCCTGGTTCATCCCTGCAGGAGCGGGGCAGAACAAAGCTGCTTTCTGCACGTGGTACAGAATAGTGGTGCTGTCTGTAGTTATGTGTGCATATCCAAAGGAAAAAAAAAAGGAAGAAAGCTAGTGATTAAAGGCATCAGCTTTCTCAAAAGAAAGGAAGCCCGTAGTGCAGGGCTGCAGCAGGCTGGCTGTGTGGAGCTCGTGTAGGGAAGCTGCTAATTGGTACGGGCAGCGGCCCTGAGATGGTTTGATCTTCATTTGGGATTGTATTCATGGTTCATTTTCATCTGCCTGAATTTACAGTACATTTTAAATACTGCGACCAAGGATGCATTCATCGTGCCCAAAAGTCATCGTGTGGGGCTCATCAGCAGCGTTGTGTTGGTCGTGCAGTTTGGGCTGTGGACTGGGGGGTGCTGTGAGGTCAGTGCTGTGCCTGAGGATCTGAGCTCCAGCCACAGTGTGTGCCCAAAGGGCTGCGTGGAAACTGACAGAAAGAAGCACTGCGGTGTCACAAGGAGTGCAGTCTGACGGTGTGTTGCAGGGTGCAGAACATGGGCTGGAGCTTCCGACAAGCGTTGTAGGCACAGGGATGCTTTGGCTTGGGAACAGATTTCTTGTGTTTTCTAGGTTGTTTTTTTTTTTTTTAGGAGACCCTATTAGTCTTTTTAGCATATTGTGTGGGCATTTATTTATTAGAAAAGGTGTTTTTGGCTAGTTTTACTCTAAAGCTGATGCCTTAACTACTCTAATGAATAGCAGCACTGCTATTCACTGTCATCAGGCAGAAAACACTTGATTGTGAGCTTATCATCTATGCTCTCAAGCTGGAGTTCATGTCTTCCAATGGTGGTGTGATTGGGGGCTGATGGCTCTTTGAGCTCCAGCTCTCTCTTCTCCTGAAGCATTCCTGCTGTGGCTGAGAGTTCATAGCTTCTGGGGTGCAGTTTTTCCCTCTTTTTTAACCTTTGCTCCTGAGAAGAAGTCTTGCACTGGGGAATTACAATAATGGAAGGAAGATATAAATCTGCACAGAGCATAATGTGATCTGTGTGTGTGTGCAGAGTAGGACGTGCAGTCCTGGCTTGAGAAGTCAAACCTTGCTCATTAGGGGTCTTTCTGCTTTGAATGTGTTGTGAACTTCAGGACTGAAATTGGCTTTAGTGCAAGAGCTGCAAGATTGCTTTCTCGCCATCAGCCCTTGGCTTTGTGTAACTCCCCTCTTGGAAATACTGTGTGTATTTATATGAATTGGTTTAAACAGAAACGTGTCCCTGCTTACAGCTGGATGGGAGTTTGCTGTGCCCTGGTGTGCAGAACACCCATCTTTAACTTCTTTCATTTCTTTGCCAGTATGGTTTCTATAATGTTTAAACACAGATGTGTTCCAATGTAAATTACCTAGAAGACAGGTAAGTCTGAATATATGCTGTTAAAAACATCCTTCGGTGCCCTGAACTATTGTACACACTGCAGTAAGAACGCAGCCCTGCTGCTGAAGTCTGACTGTACCGGGATGCTTAGCAAACTGGTTGCATGCAAAATGAAATCTCTAAGTCAGTCAGTCTCACTGCCAGGCAAAATTCTAATGGGCAGTGAATGAATGGTACTGATGTTTTCTTCTGTTCAAACATTTCTAGCTTCTGTGTTGTCTCTTTTTGCTAGAACAAGTTGAAATCATCGCAGAAGGATAAAGTGCGTCAGTTCATGGTCTTCACACAATCGAGTGAAAAGACAGCAGTGAGTTGTCTGTCCCAGAATGACTGGAAGCTGGACGTTGCAACAGACAACTTCTTCCAAAATCCTGAACTTTATATACGAGAGAGTGTTAAAGGATCACTGGACAGAAAGAAGTTAGAACAACTATATAACAGATACAAAGGTGAGTGCCTCATTCCTCACTGTGTGTTATTAATCGTGGTGTGTAAGTTGGAAGGGAAGTACGTGTGGTTCCTGCTTTGCAAAGATGACATGAAGTTGCTTTATGTACCCTAAATGTATATCCATGTGTACAAGGAGAGCATCTGGAACTGTGTGTTCAGTGAGTACCTGCAGTGGTTAACGTGGATTTATTCCTTCTGGGGACACGTATTGCTCGGCTCTCATTCCTGGCATAGAGAAAGGCTGCGTACCAATGACCACTGACAGATTCTACCTTTAAATTTTATCAGCTTTTGACTTCTATCAGTGTTACAAACAGAGCAGAAAATAGTGGGTTTTTTTTTTGTTTTTTTTTTTTTAATGCTATACAGACAGTGTTCAGCTGGTAGTATCCCACCAAAATATTAAGGTGAATTCAAAACAGTGGAACACTTAGGAGAGCTATAACTGACTGCTGCTATGTTTTCTGTCAGTTTTTGTGTGTGTGCATAATCCAAACACCTCAGTTTCCCTCAAGTCTTTGTCAGCTTGCATCAGTAGATTTTTGTTAGTGCACTTGAAATGTGAGCATCTCACCTCCAGACCAGATGTTGAGTCCTTTGTGGACAGAGGAGTGTGCGTGGCTGACCTGCAGTCGTAACGGGGCAGTGTGACTCTCCTCTTGGAGGTTACCTTGGCCAATCTCATGCATGGTGGTGATGCCAGAGGATGCATAATGCTTGGTACAGTATGGGGAGGTTTGGTAATTGTTTCAGAACAGCTTATGAATGGGCACTGCAGAATTGGTTATGATAGTTCCCAAAGACACCAATGATTGAGGCACTGGTGGGGAAGGACTGCTGTTCTCTCTCTGGGATGAGTCAGTGTCATCTGCAGAAACCAAATGTATGTGGTGCTTTTGTCTCAATAAAATCAAATGAGTTTCGTTGTATGGGAAGCTCTATTGTTGAAACTTCTTCAAATGTTAAGGCTTCAGTGTTGAAAATAAGAAACTAACCTTGCTTTTCAAATGTTTGCTTCTAAGAGCGTATCTTGGCAACCTTGAAAGCGTTTGCTCTTCTTAGACCCTTGTTGAGTAAATGAACTATTTCAAAAGTCTCTGTATTTTCTGACACTTATTTCTATATCCTGAAGATCCTCAAGATGAAAATAAAATTGGTATAGATGGTATACAGCAGTTTTGTGATGATCTAGCCCTTGATCCAGCCAGCATTACTGTACTCATCATTGCATGGAAGTTCCGAGCTGCAACGCAGTGTGAATTTTCAAAGCTGGAATTCATGGATGGAATGACTGAGCTAGGGTAAGTGTGCAGTGTTGGGTGCTGAGTGTGACCCAGGGCCAATGCTGGATGGCACAGTCCTCTTCTGAAGCATTCAGAGTCCCGTTGTCCTCTTTGACTTCAGGGGTTTTCAGAGTCTGGCATCACTTGTCTGCCTCTGTAGAGATGCGTCTGGTGTCGGAGCACTGGCAGCTTAGTGACCAGGAGAGGAAGGGGGCATTAATGAGTGCTCCTTGCCTTGGTTGTGTGATGTGGCTGCCACAGTTATTTACATAGGGAAAGCAAGGGCATTGGCCAGCTGTGCAGCATACCTGAGTTTTGTCTGCATGATGTGAATGCAGTAATCTTTATCACATCTTGTGGATTATCATGTGCAGTGGGCAGTGTGAAGAAGTAACAACAAAGGAATGAAATAGTGCTCTAATCACAGACCAGTGATTAGATAAATCAGGCTTCTTGATTTTTGTTTTGATAACTGTATTCCACAGTGATGTTATAAAAGACTCTTAACATTGTATCTCTTATGTTATAGCAAAATCAATAATACACAAGTGTGCTTTTTAAAATGCAGGTGTGACAGCATAGAAAAACTAAAGGCTCAGATTCCTAAAATGGAACAGGAGTTAAAAGAGCCGGGAAGATTTAAGGATTTTTATCAGTTTACTTTCAACTTTGCAAAGAATCCAGGACAGAAAGGTTTAGGTATGTATTCTTAATCATAAATGTTTGTGCATGGAATGTGGGATGACTGATGAAAGCAGTGCTGTGATTCAGTGAGGCTGAATGCTAACCACCTTTGGGATGAAGTGCAGCTCATTATGTGAAAGATGGATGTCAGTGTCAGATCTTTGAGCTGACAGAAATATCTGCATAATTAATATAGACTACAAAATTATACGAGAGGGTTTATTCTCTCATGGAGTATGTGGAATTCTCAGTGAGCACAAAGGAGTGTGATCTCACATTAAAGTCGTAATTACATCATTTAGAATTTGCAGCACTAAACAAAGTAATTCAGTTTTCACTTATAGAGTAAACTTAACCTGTAAAACTGATTTCCATATAAATGCACTTGTGTGGAGTCTCCTGCTATGCCAAAATGCATGCAAATATCTTTGCAAAGTAGAATTTGCATAGTGCAAGTAGATCTCTGCGTCCTGGGCTTGGTGCCTTTGGTGCTGCTGTGCCCTTGGTGCTTCCCTACCACCCTTCCTCCGTTCAATGAATGAACTGACCAGGCAGCGTTGTTTTTCTCATTACATAAGAGGTAAAGTAGAAAGATTGCTTAGTAAAAGTCATTTGGGGTGAAAAAGCCCAACACCGACCTGAGTAAATGAGCAGACTGCAAATCTGTCTCCTCCAAACTGCAAAAAGAAAGGGACAAAATTATCTTTCCAGCAGTAATGTTAGCCAACCAGAATGCACGTCTGTGTTGGTGCGGAGGTGTTGGCTATAACCAGTATTTCTGGGCTCTGTGGCCATCAACTTCTTACCTTAAGTGTTGTACTGTTGAGAGGAAATACAGTACTGAGAGCCCAGCAGGTTCTTCCTTAGCAGTAAATGTGTTTTTGTCTGTAATGAAAGATGTCCCTGACCAGCCTGCTTTAACTGAAGGCTAAATTGCTTGGTTTTGCAGTCAAATCTTCTGCTAAAGGCAGACATTCCTCGCCTCATGTGCTGTCACTCTCAGGTAGAATGTATTCAGTGACTGTTTGGACGTCTGCTTAATTTGTATCTGCTCCTTGAGCCCCATGGCTGAAGCCTTTAGTGTGGGATCATACCCCATGCAGCTGATGCTCTGCAGATTTTATTCATTACTTTGGTCAGAAAGCTTTATAATGTGGTTATACATTAACTTTTAACGCATAAACTCTTAATATCAAAGATGTTAGCAGTTCAGGAGCTCTCCCAGACACCTTCTGTTTGCCCTGCAGCAATGCAGAGTTCATTCTCTGTTTTGCTTGCTGTTGCTTTTAGCTCTGAGGTCCGCCTCCCTGTTTGTGTGTTTGGTTGTGAAGTAGTTGGGGGTCGGGAGAGAAGGGGGTGGTTTTTGTTTTGCTTCTGGATTGAGCTGTGGCTTATTGCTTTGTCCAGAGGTGCAGCTGCTCATGTGCCTCTTCTCTCCTCTCCCACAGGAGGACTGTTTATGTTAGAATAGATAAGATGTGCTGCAAAAAGCTCTAAGAGCTCCTGTGACAGGCAGGGTCTCTTAGGCAGCATTCTGTAGTTATTTTGATAACCACATGGATACTGAATGCAGTTAAGATCAGTGTTTTGTTACACACTGCAGAGATCCTCATTAATTCCTGGTAGAGGAGATCGCGATAGGTAGCACTGCGGAGCTGTCACGCTTCTTATTTAAGCAGCTAACTCATCACTGTGTGTCTGACAAACAGGGCAGTGTGTCAGTTCGGCCTTCTGCAAATCCCAGCGAGGCTGCCCAGCCCTGCCAGGAGCGGCAGTGCGTCTCACTGCTGTGCGCTCGCAGCGCCCACTGCTGGCAGCAGCGTGCAGTTGCCCGGTAGGCAGCGCGTTGTTGCTGTTCCTGAATGCTTGTCGGCTTTCTCAGTCGCTCTGAGAAACGGATTCAAAACCAGTGAGAACTTCAGAGGATGCTGAAATGCACAAATTGAGACTTTGGTACTCAAACAGTTTTTCAAAGAGAAATCCGACTGCAGAAATGAACACTCAATAAAGCCATGTTACAGAGCCAGCACCGCTAACGGTGACGCTCTGAAAATGAAACCATGAAAAGGCAATTGAACATAGATTGTATTTATATGTAAGTAAAACAAACCCACTCATACTCTGAAATACTGCATTTATTTAATTTCTGAGACACATATCTCACCGAATTGTCCCTAAGGTACAGCCAGGCAGCAAAAAGCATTTGAAATAGCCTTGTGTTCTGGATGTGTTAAACACAAATGTGGGCAGTTTTCAGTCCTATGTTGAAGTGGCAGCATTGAAATCTGTACTGTATTTGTATGACAATTCCACGTATGGCTCTCTTCCATAGAAGATCCATGGGTATGTTTGCATTAGATTCATCTTTGAACCTTCATGACTGTGCAGTTCATCTTAGTTGAGATGCCTGTTGAGGTGATGTATTGAAGTGCATATGTCTAAGAGTAATATATTTTAATATTACAGATTTAGAAATGGCCATTGCCTACTGGAATTTAGTACTTAATGGAAGATTTAAATTTCTAGACTTGTGGAACAAATTTTTGTTGGTAAGTTTAAACCTTTACAAAAACTGGACTGCAGTAATTTCCAAACCTGGAAGATAAATGTGTTTCTGTTGTTGATGCAATGAATGGGCTGTTCTGACACAGACCCCAGCTACTGCGCTTCATAGTGCATGCAGGGGAGTTATGTTCTGGGAGAGTAAAAAAGGTTCTGTGTACAGATTCTTAATGTGTTTTTTTTTGTGTGTGTGTGTAAATTTTCCATCCCTACAAACAGGAGCATCATAAAAGATCAATACCTAAGGATACCTGGAACCTCCTTCTAGACTTTAGTACAATGATAGCAGATGATATGTCAAACTATGATGAGGAAGGTAACAATTTCTATTTTCTTTCATTAACTTCTGTCTTACGTTACACTTATTTCTGTGTGTCTGCTTTGACACAGCTGTCTAACAGCAGTGGAATTAGAAGATCACTGGTGATCTAAAGTCCAGTTAGAGCTGCCTAATGCATGTTGTTATCATCTGTTTACTGCAGCTTCAAAGAAAGAAAGGCTGATGTTTTCTTAAACTTGGTTTATTTTTTCCTTCTTAGCTCAGATGTTAATTTGCTCGTGAGGACAGCCCTTCATCTGTCCATTTTAAAACATGGGTTCTCTGCCAGTGCATTTTTTGGCATCTTCAACCAAGTAACGGATTGGGTGGGCTGTGCATTTCCTTGTAGATAATGCATTTCTTAGCCTAGAATACATTCAAAGTTTGATTATTTTGGTTTGCATCAAGATCAGACGTAACAATGTGAAGCTGGCTGCAATACAGCAGTCACTGAACAGAAGTTATTCCTGCACCATGTGTTTCTTGTAAACTTTTGTATTGATCTTTCCTCTTTCAATCCATCTGCAGCCAAAAACTGCTAATTACCATCAGTCCTTGGTGGCAGATCAGTCACTGAGTGGAGGAAACTGAACTTCTTGTACTTTCAGAGCAGTGGGGAGCAAACTTCTACAACTTGAATAACTTTGGACACTTTTCATTCCCTTTTCATTAAGCAAACTGGCTGCTGCCAACCATAAGTCAGTGTGGTTTTGGAAAGCTAAAGGCAGAAAAACATGTTCTAGTTATTTGGGGTAAAAATATTTCCAGGGCAGGAGCTCAAGCACCCACCTTTACTTTAACCTTTATGGGACTGTGGTGCACAGGAGTGGTGGTGGCAGCTCTTTAGATATCACTACCTGTAACATGCTAGATGTTGATGTGCATTTTAACTACCTCATGATAAGGAGTATGGAAATGTAGTGCCATGGCAGTGTAATACCAGTTTCTAGGCCATCACAGTGCGTTTTGTTGGCTTTGGGTATGGCCCCATGCGCTGATTCTAACAGGTGTGCTTTTTATTCCTGCAAAATCACAGGGTGAGCTGCATGTGCTGGCTGCAGCTTACAGCATGGGCTGCCCCATGCAGTGCGCAGGGGTTTGCAAGCAGCTCCTGCCACCCTGGATCATCACGTTGGAGTTACTGTCCCAACAACAGACAGTTTTAAGCTGGAACTTTTAGTTTGCCCAGGAGGATTAAGGCAGTTATCACTCTTGAGGGGGATTTCTATCAGCAGGGTCTAAGGAAGGCAGAAATCTGTAACCAGCGTTTACATTTCAAGCAAGGAAGCCAAATAATATTTTTTTGCTTGAAACTATTTAAGACCGGAATGTAAATAAATTCTTCAGATCCAAAGCTTTAAAAGAAAGAAAGCCTGTGTCAAACTGATTTCTTATGCTTTGGTCCTCCTTTTTTCTTCTTTTTTTTTCTTTTAGGGGCATGGCCAGTTCTTATTGATGACTTTGTGGAATTTGCACGCCCTCAAATTGCTGGGACAAAAAGTACAACAGTGTAGCACTAAAGGACCCTTATAGAGTGTACATAGTCTGTACAAATACCTGAAATGGAAAATTGCACAGTCAATTTCTGCTGGCTGGACTGAACTGAAGATCAATCCTCACAATGTGGCTGAGGGTTGAGACAAACCTTTAAGGATACATCATGGACCATATCGTAATTCATCCTTCTACTGGTGGTTTGGGCTTTTCTTCTAGTCTGGACCACTGCTGCCCGTTAAAATTCCAACATTGTGGATTTCATCATGGATGATGATTTTGTTTCTGGACTGCCCAAGTTTCAGCTCCCATAAGTCCGAGCAGCTTTATAATGATTTTGAGGTTTCTGGTTTTGCATAAAGCACAATGCTGGTCATCATCACACGACTGTTGTATGGCATCTGAATTACACAGCTCAACATCAGAAGAGTTTCTAAAGGAATCCTTAAATATACACTTGGGGCTAGTTGCAAAGACAGTCTTGATAGCACTTCCTTTAAGAGTGATATATTTAAGTGTACTGGGTCTGATTTTGCTTTTTTAATTAAATTTTTTTTTTCCCTTTTCTGGAAAACTGCAGGTATCGTCTAAGTGAGTGTGAGCGTCTGGTAATAAGAGTTACAAAAGAACCAGGAAAGCTTCAGGTTGTTGATACTGGGCTGTCTGGGTGCCTGTCTGCATTACTTGATTGTACATCAGCTGCCCCTGAGAACAGTTGAAGTATGACACAACTCCTGTGTGCTTACAGCAGCTGTGCTGGGTGTTACAGACGGCCTTTGGTGAGATGAGCTGTGTGTGTAAGGGTAGATTCTAAGATTCTTTAGGTTGTCATCTAAGGAAATGGATTTTGTTGCAGTTCTGAAGTGCTTCTGTCACACAAAAGCTTTCTCGTTGCTGTGGAAATCTAAAACTAATCTAAATCTAATATGCTGAATTTGTGTCTTAACGTTTGCAGCACAAAGGCAAACACAGTATTTCAAATTCAGGCATGGAGCTTTCATGCTTGAGGTGTGAGGAAGCAAACGGCCCTGTTATAATGAGAAGATGGTGAGTTTGATATGAAACCTGGTTTTGAAACCATTACTCTGAGAAGCAAGTTGAATCTTCATCATGTAGAGGTACTGCCGCTATGGATGACGCCGATTTTTATTTTGTTGAGCTTTCCTTAAACGGACATTTCACTGTGGTTGCCAAATATAGAAAAGAAGTGTAAAGCATGTCCAGACACAGATCAGATATAAACTACTACACTGGCTTTGTTTCCTTAAGTTATTTTGTTGGTTCATCACTACTTCTCGTTGTCTTACTGCGTTTAATTAAACCAAGTTCCTTTTGTTCAGAACAGGTGTTATGGGATGCAATCCTTTATTTGTAACGTTACAAGAGAGCTCATGCCCTGCTGTTGTGCTAAACATGATCTACTGCCGAGTTGTTACTGGGGAAGAGATGTTCTCTTGAGATCAGTTCTGCTCTGTAAAAGCGAGGTGGAAAATACAAAGCTCCGGGAAAGCAGAAGCCTTAGTTGCCATTAAGGTCAGAGGTGAGAGTCCATGTGCTGAGCAGTCCCACGGTAAGGCCGCACTTCTGAAATAGTAACTGGTACTTGCAGTAAGCAGCAGAACACTTGTGTGCGGATGCTAAAAGTATTTTAGGGGGAAAAAAAAAAGAAGAGAGGAAAAAAAAAAAGGCTATAAGATTGCTGAAAATGTTTGTTTCTGTTCTGTGAGGTTTGACCACAAGGCTCGCTCCCCTCACAGCAGTGCCCTTTGCAAACCCATCTGTGCATTTATTTCCAGAATCCGGTTCCGCAGAACCATTGCAGACTTTCTCCAGCTACTGGAATTGGCTATGCCAAAAAAATGTGTGTTTTGCTGCTTTCACTATTTCCTTTTTAAATTTTGTGTAAATATAAACGGGGACTTGAGATTAGGGGTGGGGTGTGTGTGGAAAAAGCTCTACAAGGTATCTATGCGTGCTGTTTTCTGTCTTGAGGGTTCTGGTACAGTTTGAGGTTGATTTGTTCGTACGCTGTGTCTGGGATGAGAACCAACTGTTTTTGTCCCAGGACAGACTTGTCCCTCAAAAGAAGTCTGACGTGGGGTAGTGGCATAATGCTGTGCTGTTTTAAAGAATATTCCTTTTGAATGCAAAATCTTTTCAACAAAATAGTGTTGTCATCAGTTTGGTACTATGTGCTTATAATTACTGTGTAATTATAAAGAAATACATAAAACTTTGAGTAATTATGTTGCAGAAAAAGGTTATTTGTGCTATGATGGCATCTTAAAGAGTTTTTCAAAAAACACTGATTTAACAGGGTGTTGTTCTAAGGACAAAATGCCTGGTGAGAGAATATTTTGTACTGAAAAGTGCTCAGATACGGCCATGTGGTTTTTTTGTTCCTTTAGTTCTGTTTTTTTTAAGAATGCAGACAGTTGCTTCCTTGGATTGCTTTAATTCTTAAGTGCTAATGTCCTCAATCTGATCATCTCCCCTTAATGGATCAATTTAATTTTGCCAAATGTGAGGAAAAAAAAAAAGGTAAACATCTCGTTTATAATCTGTTTTTATACATTAAATATGTACAAAATTAGAAGTGCCCTGATATAAAACACTCATGTCAAGATTATATTTAGTAAGAAACCATCATTTACATATCTCTGTAAGTTCAAATGTAACTTCTTAAATCCCTCGCATTCCCAACAGAGGCAATAAAGCTCCAATGAAATTGCCATGACTAAGTCTTCTCATGCATTGTTTCAGTGTATTATTTGTAAGACATTTCTAGACTGTTTTTTTAACCACAAACAAATAAGAGTGGAATATTGGTCCCTTGCCTAAAACACACACTTGAGGGCGGGTAAGTCTTTTTTGGGGGAAAGTATCTATGAACTGATGCAGTCTTGCCTACTGCTTATGCTGAATGTTTACAGGTACAGAATGGAGCTGACCTTACCCAGCTGTGCTGCATTACCATTACCTACCATGCAGTGGAAGACACCACACAGTGCATTTGTTTAAGTTGGGTTAAAGACTACAGTACCATAAAGTGACTTTTTTTTATTGAACAACCTGTTAATGCATAACTTATGAATTGCTTCAGAACTGTTTTACAATGAACTCCTTGCAGAGAACTCCTTATTTAAGAAAGATATAATTTTTTAAGAACGCATTTAATAAACTTTTGTCATTCACACTTATTTGAAATAACAGTGCCAGACGTCTCTGTAGATTTTATTTGGGTGTGGTAATGCTGCCTGTATTTGGTTTTTAAGTCCTCTGCTCTTAGAGAGCTCAGACAGCCCAGTACGTAGTTGATGAAATTGTAATCTTAGTGCTAAGGAAGAGGCTTTTGCTTTGCAGTACTGAGCTGAATGACTGAGAACCAGCAGGTGAGAGCAGCTAAGGAGTTGGGCTCTGCAGTCAGAATGGCCGAAAGGTGGACATACGAACAGGTACTTGTTAACTGGTAGCTTCTGATGTTCTGCCAACTATTTTTTTCCTCCAATAACCTCATACTAGTTATTTCAGTTCTCCTTGTAGATAACAAAATAAACTGGTACTTTGTGTTTCCCTTTTAAGCTTAATTCTAATGTCTTCATCGTATGATGTGTCAAGCCTTTCTCCCAAAGCATTCAAGGGCAGAAGGCAAAATACTGAACAGGGGCACTGTTAAAGAAACCAAAGCTGAGGAAAGGGATGTGGAAGGAGGTTGGCAAGGTAAAGTCTGTCCATGTGCCTGTCCATCTGTCCAACTGTCCATTTGTTTCTATCTGTCCATGCAGCTGTCTGTCAGGCCCTCAGGTTCTATGTCTTTGTGGAGCTGTGCAGCCCTGTTGGACTGTTCCCGTCTCCTCCTCTGTGACTGAAGGGGGGGATAAACGGGGGGGCAGCCTCACTGCTCTCAGGTATCTTTTCCTCTGACCCGTAATTAAAACAATGACTCAGCTGTAAGCGAAAGTTTTATTTAATAAATATAATTCATTTCCATAAACCATAAAGCAACTTCTACTGCCCGAGCTGCACGATGCGCAAGCACACAGATGCGCTGTCAGCGTCAGAAGGAACACGAGGCAGCCACAGTGTCACAGGTCCAGAATTCTTAGAACTAATTATTGCTACAGTTACCACTTGCCTGTGATCCTTAATTGCCTAAAATTAAGGATCGACTTCGTTAACATGGTACCCTCACATGCTTTTCCTATTCATGTTGGTTTTTTTTTCTCAAAAAAAAAAAAAAAAGGAGCAAGGAGAACTCGATGTCCCTCCCAGGAGGAAGGAGTGATGGTAAGTGTGCATAAGAGGTGAAATCTACAGTAGGAACATAACTGGAAATTTAGAAAGTCACTTCCTTGCATCCTCTTCGTATCTGAAAGCGAACCCCATTATAACCCATACCAGCAACAGAGGAAAACAGTGATATATGTATATATTTTTTTAAAATTCATTGCCACAATGCAGAAAAGATGAGAATGACTGAACTCTGCTGCTACTCCAGGTAAAAGTGCTGAGGAACATACACACTGCATCCCATTTGGGTGAAGCGTAGGATTTCTTTTAGGCAAGTCACACTGCTGTAATCTGCAGTATTTTCCATCTCTTATCACTTCATATTACATATAGAGATCTTTGGCCCACGGCCCATCAGCTTTTATTCATGTCCATGCATTTATACAAACCAGAAACAGCAACAAAGAAGTCGTATCTACAATGACAATTTTATATACTTATTGTAGAACAGCGAGGTAATATGGCAACACCTAGAGCAGGGCAAATACATCAACGTGATGAGAACATTCCTTTCAACGAAAGCCACAGAAGCGTGGGCAGCAGAGCCAGTGCTGACATCTCTATGAGCAGCTGAACAATCTAAGGGAAGCAGAAGCCTCGCAAATACCGATGCGAATGCATTTAAGCTGATCGAGGGCAAGAGTGAGGTGGTGCAGCCATGAGCATCCCATCTTTCCTCCTGTTTGTAAATTGAGCCAATCAAATAGGAAGCAGAAACCAGAGAAGTCATACCACTGGAAGCAAACAGAAGCAAAGAACATACAAACCAGCCAACAATAAAGAGTCACAGAAAGAAAGAAACAGCCTGCAACAAAAGTCTAAGTAGGAAATAATTTAGAAACGAGAAGAGAAGGCTGAAATTAATCCATATTTCAGGATGGCTGGTTCACCCAGCTCTAGGAATGCATCTCCATTAAAAAAAAGGTAGAACAAAGCAGGTGCAGTGCTGGTGGTTATAGCTATTAAGTAAGTAAGTTATTTTCCAGAGCAAAAGAAGGACAGCTTAAATGGCTCACAAACACATGATGCACTTTTGGACACTAAATTTCAATAAGTATGGAAGTGTCAAAGAAAACAAAACTATTAAAAATAATATAGACTACTGATTCAACAGCTTTGAGACAGACACTTCTAACACTAGAAAATGAGACTTTTTTCCCCCCAGTATAGAAGCTAGTCATAAAAAAGAACGTTTGGAAAGTATTACTAAAGGTTCCAGTAAGAAATTATGGTTGCCTAATATATACGCACTCTGAGTTGAGCTGCATAATGTTTTGTACTAGAAAACAAGAACTCAGAATGAGTTCTTCCTTCGCTTTTTTTTTTTTTTTTTTAAATTCCTTCCTCCATTGCCTTAATACACAGAATATTTTAAGCAGAATCTACACACATTCTAGTTTGTGAATAAACTGGAACATATTCCCACTCCCTCTTTGCTGCATGGTTAAAAAGCCAAAGTCTGGTAACTTGCTTTAACGGACTGCTTGCTTTCCTGCCACGTTATGGGCTTCAAGGCTGAGACCCAGCTCTATCATAGTTCTTTATTTCCTTCCTACAGCACAGTCTCCCTCACCATTGAATCAGAGAGCTGAATTCTTCTTTGAATGGAGTAAGCTGTATTTTGTGCTGTCATCTTTGTCAAGACTGACTGACTTTTACAGTAGACTCAGTGCACGAGTGTTTCATACACTTTAACTGTCAGAGAAATACACAACAGCTTTCTTCCTTGAGCAAAAGCAATTCTCAATCATCTGTGACATATTTACAAAAACATATGGTCCTAACTAAGTGTTTGCCAGACCAAAAATCTGGTCATGTGCAAACTGATTCTATACTCATTAAATGATAAATTACAGGTTTAACTTGTACTGCAAATAGAAAAATATACCTTGGCAGACAGATGGATTCTTAAGTTCTTCCTGAACAGTTTAAATGCGTGTTTCTTCGGTAACCTTACAAACACTGGGAAAAGGGAAAGCAGGGGAAGAGGGACAAGAGGAGATGGAAGGTTTTAAAGAAATACATATAATCAATGTAAATTATTCTTCAAGTTCAGGACTGTGAATCTTCTGTGTACATAATTAACATACTTGTATGGTAAAAGCCAACAAACATTTCTGTACAGAGCCTGACCCAATCTAAGTGTTCGGAGTGGGGTTGTCAAACCCTCTGACATTCTGACAGAGTGAAGCACAGTGTCTATTTCCACACATGGTGCACCAGCCAGACACACAGATGAGCTAGCTAATGAGGCCCAACAGTCACACACTCTGCCTGGGTGCTGTGGGTGACAGACAAACACACACTTCTCAACAGTGAAACATGGTGGCTTACACACAAAAGATATGACAAAACAGCAGATATCTGTTAGAGTTTTTAGAGACGTCTTAGATATTGATGTCAGATAGAAGACTGTCTCAGAATGAGAAACTGCTAAGACAAGTAACTTACTCAGGCCAATAGGGGAAACCCCTGCAGGTGTGCTGAGAGCAGCTGCTGGTTTTGTACTAATCTCAAGCTTAACGGCATCTTCAGTTAAGAAGTTGTTACAGGAGCTATTAGCTATTTACAGTCTGTTTGATCAAGTTTCTTTCACTGAGAATTTTAATACATTGCTTTTTACCTTCTGCTGGCTGGCAGGAAGATTCTTTCAATAGTGATAGGACTTCAGAGACTGACTTCAAACTGGATTCCCAAACAGGTGTCCAAACACAGCAGCATTTTTCCTGGCCTGCACCTGAGGACTACCTAAGACAAAGCTCTAACCTTCATTTAGCTCTCACATATAAAGAAAGAACCCTAATAGCTCTGGCCAACACAGCAGAACAAAGAGGCAAATGTTGTTATCCTTCCCCAAACATGAAGACACATTTATTTAAACTGATGAGAAAAAAAAAGTACCTGCAAGATGTATCATGTACCATTCAAAGCTGCATTGGTGCAATTTGTTTTTATTGACATACTTAGGTATCAAAACACTGCCACCAATGTCTCAGATTCTTCAGATATATGAAGATAATTAAGCATTAATTGCATCTTCAACGTACAATGCGGCCAAATATAAATACATGAAAAAGAATAAAACATGCAAAGGTTCACCAACATTAAAAGGATTCCTCACTCAAAAATTTATGCTAGTGAGACACCTGCACGAGCCACTGCTTCTTACCCATTTTTCCACATCAAGTTTGTGACTGGTTAATGAAACGCTTGTTAGAGAAGATGACTGGCTTTGAATCACACTTCAAGAAAACAGTGACCTGTTAAATCCTCACGACTCCAAATGACCGATGCACGCTGTTTCTCAAAGTGATGACTGATAAAATTGCCATTCGTACACCAGCACAAATATTTGAATAATATTTATCTCTAAAATTACTGAGTATTTAAACACTTTAGAAACCGTCCATGGAAACAATAATCTGATCTGCAACCCGCTAAGATAGCAGCTGTAAAAGACAGTTCAAACTCAGTGCGTGTGCAGTAAAGGGCAATCTAATTTCATTATGTTCCACTTACGTTTCATTGTGCAAGTTCTATTTGATCGCTTGCATTTGGGAGAAGATTTTGCACTGTGTTGTACCAGCATCTCAAATATCAAATACAAGGTTCCAATCTGCTAATATGGTAACAAAAAAGATTTAATGGTGAGAGCTGAAAGTGTTTCTTATCAAAAAAATTTAGCAATTTGTGGATATCATTAGAAAAAATATTGGAAGCAAATACAGTCCAGATGACCGCTATGCTTGACTACAGGACAGCCAGTTTGCCTTTAAGTCACACTAGTCCTGCCTAGGGCAGGGATGTAGAACTGTACTCCCTTCAGAACCTACTACAGGTACGTAAGCACCACTTGGCTTCCACAAGGTATTTACAAATGTCCCTGTTAACAAGTGGATGAGTCCATTGTGGAGAGAGTCAAGATGCTTCTGTCGTTGGCATAGAAGGGATCCGATGAACTCCATGATCTAAAGTAACAATAAAAAAGAAGTTTGGCTGACTGGGAACTTACAAGCTAGAGGCAAGGAAAAAAGTCTATGAAAGCAAAGATAAAAGTGTTACGAGATTAGGCTCATGTAACCCTTTAAAAGACTTAGCCATTATTTCATATTTCACTTGCAATTCATTTTAACCCTTGAAAGTATACTGCAATTAGTAAATCCAACTATGTAGTTAACACTTCCAAATTTGCAAGAAATGTAAAGTTAATCAGATGTTTTCATTGCTTTGAGCTGAAATGACCACAGGCCTCGAAGGCCAGCTTTACGACTACATTTTTAGTACGTGCCTCAAGCAAAGAAAACAAATGTTGCACACCTAAGCTGAGGCACTGAGAACAGTGCGGTTCAACTGCCTGAGGACATTCAAGTACAGCCTTGCAGAATGCACAGCCAGCCACAGTACGTCAGTTCATGGGTGTTCTGATGTGAAATGCTGCCTAAAGTCACACGTGGGCAAAACCTTATCTACAGACATGAGGTTATTCCAACTCTCACTGTTAAATTTGAAAGTTAAAATTTAAGGCATCGAAAAGCTAACATGGCTTCTGGTTCAGATATGATCTCCCAACATCTTTCCCTCAAGGACAGATTACTGTTTCTACTACTGCACAGCAACCACGGTTCTCCACTGAACAGCATTATAGGACTGTATGTGAAAAGCTGAAAAATAAAAGATTGGAAGGCAGGGAATGTAAGATCTTTATCCTCCAAATGTGTCTTCTCTGTCAGAAATCTGCTGTTTCTTCAGAACTTTTACATGCAGTGCTTTGACACAAGTACCACTCATGGGAGAGCCAACAACTCATAATGAATCTTACACGAATGTGAAGTGATCCAGAATTCCTAATGTTTTAGTGACTGACAAACTGACAGACAATTGAATGGGACAGACAGACAAAAATGCATTCTTGCTATGGCACACGGTTCACATTCTAACCAGCGAGTGAAACTATAGCAAATACTTCTTAAATGCATTTCACAAGCATAAACTACTGTATTCCTGTAGCCCTCTACTCCAAGCATTTGTACAACTTTGATCCAAAGTTTCTAGGAAAATTTCATACCATATTTGATTTCATGTTCTCATACTTGACAGAATATCATACTTGACAGATTATAATGAGCATAAAATACAACACAACCTATGACATCAACACTGTTTTAAGCACTGCTCTTCATTGCACAGCACGCTCACAGCCAATCTGCAGCTCCTCCTGGCTGAACACAGAGCTGTTTTATGAAGCACACGTAATGCACAAGACTGAACTGCTCAGGATCACAGGATCCTCAGAAAACATCAGTTCCTAAGTTCAATGAAAGCGGCCTAGGACTTAAGTTTTACAAACACTTCTGAATTGCCAAACAGCTTTGCTAAGCACACCTTCAGCACTTTTCAGTTTGTAACTGTTGAATGTGATTACAGCGGAATTAAACTGATGCTTATTATCTGGCAAGTGTAAGGGAAGAACGTAAATAGCCTTGACTTTTAACAGTACCCTGACTATTAGACTAGCTTTTAAGTAATAACGCAGTATGGATGGAACTGAAGTCACCAAAGAAAGCAAGCAAGAATTACATTTTAAGGAGCATTCTTTCTAGTTCTCCTGTTCAGAAAATTAAGGGAAACTAGAAAGTAGTTCTGAATAATTTCAACCACAGGCAGAAACAAAAGCTACAGAGCTTCAGGCCCTCAGTGCAGCACAGGACAGTTCTGCATGAACATTAAACGCTCTAAAATTACAGAGCTAACTGGAACTTCGTTTGAAAAAGACATGGTAAGCAGTCAAGAAACCTGAGAAAAGCTACCTTCAAAAACTGACCAATATTCTGTCAAATATGATTTATATTCAGTATATAGTTTTAAGCAAGTTCCTGAAGAAAGTCAGTATATACTGAGTGGAAAAAGAGAAAAATTGTAAAGATGAAAATGCATTGCAGGAAATAAAACAGAATACCTACCTTGTATAACTACACAAGTTCTTTACAGGGAAATGTAAACCAAAAAAAAATTGCTTCTGATTAGATAACAATGAATTTTAAAAAGCAGCATGAGAAGTTCCTCATTTAGAAAGCACAGCTTTACAAAGAAATAGAAAAAAAGAAAAACCCAAACAAACCAAGAGCTTAGAGCAATTACCATTAAAATGTTGATTTTCAGATCAATTAAATGCTCATCTTGTAGATTAAAAATTCTACTAAATTGTTTATTTTATACATCATGCTCACCTTCTATACAGCAAATTTTAATTAAAAGTGTACTTAATCATAACAGTTCATTTTTCATACAGAATGAAACGTTGCATAATTATTCCCTGGACGCGTAGAAATGTTGAATAAATTTCATGAGCAAGTCAGATGAGAAACCAACTGAAATCGCAGGCAGTGCTCAGCGCAAGAGCTGGAAACAGGGACGCAAAATCAGAACTGACAAAGCTCGTCAGTGAAAACTGCCCACACCAGATTTCATACTGAATGAATGATATCACGACCTTTAGCTAAAAGTGACAAAGTCAAACACAAAATAAGTTTCCTTGAAAACACATGAAGCAGAGCTCTTTCAGGTTTACCTTTTGACCGATGAAAGACCATGACATCATTCAGGCATTGAGAGATTACGATGTACAAGAGACTATAATTATTTCTACCCCCAAATATTTCCGTATTTATTAGACAGCCCTCTCTATTTTGAAGTGGGGGGATGGCACATAAGCAGGTTTACTGAGAGCTTTTATCCCCCCGCTTTGCTCACTGCAAGAGCAGTCTCGTTCCTCTAAAGTATTTGATTACTCTAAAATGCTTCTATCCCACTGAGGTTTGTCTCACACGTGGTTTGTGGTTTGTGAAGGAAAAGATTTGTTTAGCACATACTTTGGAATGGCACATATGACTTTGACACCTTCTAGAACTGAAAAAAAAAACATTTAAAATTATTAGAACCGGACGTTCTGTTCCGTTAATTACCGATTTTAGAAATAGAATATAAAAGTTATACTACAAAAATATTTAATCTCCATATCAATCAATGGCTGAAAGATTTAAAGACTTTCCTTGTAACAATAAATTTATACTTAAGGAGGGGAGTGTGAGCCTTTAGTATATCTTCAGGAGTAATGCAAGCTCCAAGGTAAATATTTGGAGGTTGTACATCAAGAACCATGGGGAAAAGTCTTTCGACTTTACAAACAACTCCTGATTCGTGAAGGCAAAAAAATAATAATCATAAAACAGGAGAAGAAAAGCAGCAGCAAGGCTTGATTATCTGAGGAGAAGAACGTACAAAAATCAAGAGAAATTAAGACAGATACAACTCAAGAACTTCTACTAAAGTCAAACTAAACAGTTCAACAGAAATCGTTGAGAACCGTTTTTCCCCCTCCTGATCCCAAAAGAAAACACGCAAAGAGAAGCAAGAAACTTATCTTTTAGGGTGAATAAAGTACAATAAAACGTTGCACTTCCTACTTAAAGAGAACCTGCAGCTGGTTTGCTACGCATCTATAGCTGCAGGCTCATCAGGTTCCAGTTTATAGGAGAATCGTCTGCAGCAAAGGCTATTGAGAGAAATTCCACACCTGTTGACCCGGGTTGGACTACATCTTCCCATTAGTCGTTCCAGCATTCTTCTAATAGATGTGCATGCTGTTTCCCCATCTGAGAAGCAGCACATGGAGTCCATGCAGTTGATACTTGAACCTGTCTCAGTAAGCTGGAAAGATAAAAAGAAAAAAAATATATCAGTATTTGCAGATTCTATCAATAAAGATGTCATCAGATATCACTCAGAAAAGGGAGGTTTTCATTAAGTTAGTGTTGAATATTTTTCAGTCTTACAGAAGTACTACAGCCATGTTCATCATTTCCCTTCCTAATGCCTAAATGCTAACATTTGATCTTCCCAACGTTCAAATGCAGTCTTGCTGAGCACATGGAAATTCTTTAGCACCATCTCAGCTTAAAATGAAGAGAAACTGGTTAGCAATTCTCTGTATAGCTGTAATGAATCTCTGGAGTTTGAGCCGTCCAGCCTTGATTAGCCTCAGTAGAGGTACAACTTGTACAAACTTCAGGTCTACTCCTTTTTAAATATCTATCATGAGAAAGCTTCAGATCAAAGCTGCAAACAGTGCAGCAACATGATGGTAAGTGTTAACTATTCCTCAAGAAGTGCAGAATGCAACTTTCAGTAATAATTTATAGCCTAGCAGTTCCATAGGTACCCTCTTGGCTTGGTAAGAAAAGCAAATTCCTGATTTTGTGAATATCCTACATAAATACAAGTAAGACTGATGTTAAAAAGGCTTAGTCAGGCTCATGCTACTATGAGGAACTAGTCAACATTAGCATAGTATGCTATTTTTTATTCTTAGTGCATGAGAAAGAGACTCAAACAAAATGAAAGAAATTATACAGACACAGAGGAGTTTACAGAGGAGTGCATCTATGAGTGCACTTCATTGTTCTTGAGCACCGGTCAATTGCAGCAGAACTAAAATTCAACTGAAATTTGGCACTGCTGGGCAGAGAATATCCCAAACTGACTGCATTACTCTTTTCAAAAAGAAATACAAAAGCAGCGTGTGGTGATTCTTTCTAACTTAACTTAAAGCTCCCCATGAGAGCATCCTGTCAATCAAATGCCAAACATGCAGGCTAAACTTAAGCATCCATTATCCACACCTCACTCTCACAAACCCGTGAATGAGGAGAGCTGGGGAGAAGGCGTCTTAGTCTATGGCAGAGCACAGCTCACTTTTAAGAACTCCCCCCAACATTTTACCGTCTGACAAAACATCACTGTATGTCTGACTTTGGAAACCAAAGCCTCAATTTCTTTCACACCATCTGTACTTGCTAAATACTGGAGGAAAGCAAAGCACCTCAGTTTGATCTCAGAGAATAGTTTTTGCTAGGAGCAAACACCTTCCTTCCTAATTCCCTAAAAAACAGGGGACCGAGAGATTAGTGTTTTGTAACAGTTTCTATTTTAGAAAGCAGCAGCAGCCAAAAGAAAGAGAAGGCTTTTGGAAATCCAAGAGAAAAAAAACAACTGGTATGTTGGGGGGGGCACACAAGCAGAAATGGGGCCACATGCATTGCTTCCTATACTTGCCCCTTCCTCAGCTCTGCTCTACATTCCCCACGATCCTTCCAGAACCTTCTAGCCACACTGCTCAATGCTTGAAGGAAGGTCAGCTTCATCAACTTACAGAAAAGCAACAAGGATTACAGACTGAAACCTTTGATGCAGTTGCTGTGTATCGGATGCCATGGACAAGAAGTGCAGTCAGAACTCCCACTCGTTCTGGAGGTCTTCCGGACACGTTAACATTTACTAACACAATGAACTTCTGTAAACACCTGGGAGACAGGAGCATTGCAGCTGACAGTTCTGAAGGGGGTTTTGATTACAACAAGAATAAAACGAAGGGCTCACGTCCCTGAATTCCCTTATCTGACAACCATCACATCTATTCACAACTATACTGTCAAAGAAGATACCGTGATAAGGAACAGCATAATTTACAGCAGTGCAGTGAAAGCAAAAATGACCTTCACAGCAATTTCATAGTCACAGAGCATCCGACAATAAACTACATAGAGCAGAGGGAAGTCCTAGCAGAAGCAAGGAAGCAAGCTTCCTGCTGCACATAGAGCCATCTGCACTTTGCGTATGCTGCAATGCAGAACAAATTCTCAACATCCCTTCCCCTAGGATTTCAGAAGTCCTGACACAGAGTGGTCCAAGATATCATTAAAAGATGGACACGAGTTGGAACCAACTCGTTCTCAAGGAGTGAGCCTTCAGTTCTGGATTTTAGAGAAATGCTCACAGCTCCTCAGTAGAATCTCATTTGCTCTTCTCAAGTATTGAACACTGGGCTGTGAACAATCTGGTCTAGTGGGAGGTGTCCCTGCCTACAGCAGTGGGTTGGGAAGAGAGGACCCTAAAGGTCCCTTCCAACCCAAACCATTCTGTAATTCTGAGTTACCAGCTAAAAGCTGGGATCATGCTTGAACCATGATTTATGGAAAAGCTGTTGTTATCCTTTAAAAAAATAACAACTATGACCTTATATAGCCTTCACACATTTATCAAATTCACAGCTAAGTCTAAAATAACACAGGGCAAGCATTAAGGACACATGAAAGTACATTCTATTTTATGTGTAGGTATGTTGTGTACCATTGTCTAGCAAGCATGGATTTTTATATTTATGCCCACAATACAGAAGGAAGATATATTATGGTAAAGACTCTCTTTTCTCACTTTCCTCCCTATGGCAGAGGGTTACAATCATAGGTCTATATCCAAGTAAAACCTGGCATGGCAAGGCAGTAGAGCATAATAAATTTCTGAAGAACTGAAATGCACCCAGAGGAAATGAAAGGCAGGAGAGTCAAAGCTTACCAAATTAGAACTTGGAAAAATACCTGATATTTTTCACATTTGGGCTGGAAAAAAAGTGTTTTCATACATTAAGATTTGAGATCACAATAACATAATACTTCATATGATAATGGACTGTTTCATGTAATAAATCAAAAAGTTGAAATGCTGAATTAAAGAAAGATTTCATTTGAAAAAGAAAATCAAACACACATATTGTGATGTAAATTTTCTTGTAGATATAAAAAAATATGGGTATTTCGGAGATGGCTCTGTGACTGTCCACAGAATGATATATAAAAATAAATATACACACACAGTAGGGTAGAGTGGGAGTACTACCTAGTGAACGTAAGAACTGTCCTGTAGGCTAGATGGATCTAGCAGTTGCCTATTGTCCTCCCCTCTGTGCTTGCTTTCAGCAAAGTCACATGCTGAGCTGACTGAACCCTTATCTTCTTCCATCTAGAAGGACAGAAAAGCAACAAATCTTATAAAGAACCATGCTTGCATCGCTTTACAACAGTCACCATATTTATATAGGAACTTTGATTCTACAGATCTGTTCCTGAGAGAACAGAGCATATTTACACAGAAAAGGTAAATGTTTTTGAGTTAACTGTTAACTCAAACACAGGTTATCAGTGCACAAGTATTATAAAAAATTGGTATTTTTGTGCACCACAGACTACAGAAGGGGAAACACAACAAATCTGAAATCTATTTGAAATTTTCAAATTCTGGTTTCAGATTCAGGTTTAGATGTTTTCCCTTTCCAACAAAAAGGAGCACTGCAGTTTGTCCATCTTATTGTTCTGTTTGCCACACAAGAGACATTTCAACTAAACATTTCATCACTCTGAAATACGCAGTTGGGACTTACTCAACAGGAAATACCTTTAGCCCTGTACATCAAGGTAAGAACACTGCAGGTTATCTTCCTGCTCCTTGCTCCCAACACGTTTGATGCCATACAGACGTTACGGAAGATACAGGGAGTGGCTACTGCTATTCCACAATTAAGCAGAAACTCAGTTCTCTATAGTAAAGCCCACTCTTATTTTTGTTTGTTTTTAACCCATAACATATTATGTACCCAAATATCAAACAATTAGAAAGCTTCAGAATTTTAAGAGAAAATATGAGTAATGACATCCAACAACTTCACTGGCACTTCCGGTTTCAACATTTTTCTAGATTTTCTACTCTTCCTCTTTGAAATAAGTCAATAAATTGGTATTTGTAAGCCTGCTTGATCCAAAGAATTACAAAAAAGTGTCTACATGAAGTACACATGTGACTGAAGATAAGTAAGAAATAATCTACTCTTTTTTATTCCTTCTTCCTATGAAAAGTTCTGTGGATTACCTCACAGACCAGCACCACCCCATGCTAACAATTAACAAACCTGTAAAGGAAAAGCTCACAGACTGTTCAAAGTACAGCAAATGAATGTGTTCTGAGATATTTCACTAGTGGGCATTTGCATAGGCTTCTCGGAAATTTTAAAGTGTTTTCTATAAGGAATATATGAAGAAACAGGAAACTTCCTGCTCTGATTTCTACGCAGCTGCTCTGGATCAGATGCGACAGCTATTTGGAGAGAATTAATACACAATAGCAAGTAGAGAAAAAAAAAAAAACAGACAAGAAATGAAGGTCCTGAAGCTAGGGCAAGGAGTTACATCACAGACAACCAAAGCAAGCAGATCTATACAGAAACGAATGAAAAACATGGCAACAACAGAGTCACAGCAGGGCAGATGGGGAAAAACAGTCTTGGCTGTGCTACAGAAAATGCTAGTGTTTGAGAGCCCTAGAGAAAATGTTACACACCAGTGGTTTCCCTAAAAATAAAAACCTTGCCTGCGATTTTCATTTCCCTGGCATTTACTGTTGAAATGTAGAATGTAAAAACTCAATGAAGACAGTTAATTCCATTGGTGATTAGAATTAGAACATGCATCTGAGCAACATGTCTCACACATAGCGTAAGATTTCCGGCAGTTCTTATAAAGCACAGACACTGCACGTATACATTCACAATCCTCACACATCAACTTTGTTTATAAAGAGAAAAATGATATGAGATATAAAGGGGCCTACTTAATAGCCCAAAACAATATTTCACATGCTCCTAAAACTTCAACAGAGATGGCTACAGAGGCAAGAGGATTTTGCTGAAGAAATAGGCCATCAACGTCTGCTAAAGCACAAAGCCTGCACCTGAGTGTGCTGCCTCATCTCCTCTTCCTCCCACACTACAGCAGTAACAGTACAGCTCACAGGTGTTTCACAGGCATGCACAAGACTGCATTTCTGACTTACAGAAATCACACGGACGCTCAGCAGATCCCGCTAAAAGCACTTAACTTTGTGTACACCCGAGTGTTCTTACAAGCTCCTAACTTTTTCTCCAAATTTCCTATCCACATAAAAACTGGCGATAGCATCACACATCTTAATTTTCATTGGTAAACCTTCACTGTAGTGTTGGTAAATCACCACAACAGTAAGCACATAGGCAAAATGAGGCATAAGTCAGTTAAACCTGGCACTATACTGAGGTTTTAAACAAGCAACACAACTACCAGAGTCTGCTTATCAATCCACATGCAATTTGCAGCTAGAAAGGCTGCAATTACTGAGCGGGCACACAACTGAGCTGTGACAATCAGCCATTTCCTACAACACTCGCCAAGCAGCTGCTTGGTTTCCCATTCCTACAGCTTTCCTTGCTTTCTGTGCTCCGCTGCTATTGGAAATGAGCTGCCTGGGACGCCACAGAAACTAAACCATCTCCATCCCAAATTAGTTTTTACTTAGTCTAGTGAAGTGAGTGGTTTTTATCTATTAATTGGTTTTCCCATTAGGCAAGGATTCAGAGAGTAGCTTCTGAACTTTATCTGGAGATTTTAATAAGAACTAGAGAAACCCCAGTCCTTGTTCTCTCTCTTTTCGCACGTTCTAATTCCACCTGGCAGTGTAAGACTCTGCTTGTATTTTAGGTACCCATATTAGATACTCAGTTCAAAAGTTCTTACACACGAGAGAACTGGATTTATGTACTCATGGATGAAAAAAATTTTTTTTTCAACTCTTCCTTAAGGCAGTACAAAGAAGACGCCCTCATATCAGCAAGACATCATGTATTGTTAAATGGTAACTATGGTGCTGCATCCCTAGACAGCTCGACTTTTCCTTCACCATTTAGCTGCTCAACTCTTAAAATGTACTTCGTTTTGAAAAGTTTAACAGAATCTTTTGCTGAAAAACCTTTAATGCAGACATCATTTACTTCAACAACCCAGAAAGAAAACAAGCTTACTGAAAATATATTTCACTCAAAGTTTTAAAATATAGATTATTTATGTTACACTGGTAAACCAGGAATTTAAGAAGTTGACCTGTAAAAAAGGTTTTGCAGAGAAACCTCCAGAATATACTACTAAGTTTACTGATGTTGGAGAGGTGCTTATACTGCAGTTTTTGCTTCTCCTTTAAAGCTAGTAAGTGCTAGATTTAAAAACACTGCCTCCCTGGGGTGTTCAGCAACCTAAATGGTAGGATTCCTGTTGTGTTTCGCAGTGTGACGTAACAGCTAAAACCTGTTAATAAACCATTTGAACAGAATGACCACATTTTTCCCAGCAAAGGCACAGTACGTTGAGGAGATAGAAAGCTTTTCTTTTTGATCCTTCTCCTTCTTTTAAAGGACTTTCATTGTTTCAGTTAACCATTGAAAGTACTCTTACAACACATTCATCATTTCTTCTGCTTTTCCTTACTTAAGCAAAGGGGAATGAATGCCCTGAAACCTGTGCCTGATGCTGCTAGCATCCATTTTCATGTTTTTAGACAATAGTCAGCTAAAAGCTATGTAAAAGAAACCAGTTCTCTGCATTACTTCTTAGCATAGAATAGAGACGTAGGTAAGTGTCAGTAATAGAAACAGGTTCAGACATTACTGGTGTGTCAGGATGTTTCAGACAGAATCATTTTTTGATCTGAATTCTGCAACACGAATATGCTTTAATCTTTGCTCGAATAATTTCCTACCATTTTGTATACAAAGGTCTGAGAATATGTACCCGTAACACACAGAAAACAAACAACACTCGCTTTGTAGAGGCACAGAACACAAAAAGCCTTAGCTGCACAAGTGTATGTAGGCACCCAAACCAAAAACATTTTCTGCGCTTTCAATACAAGTGAAAACAAATTAATATGGGCAAACAACTTGCACCAAACTGCTGCTTGCGATACACGGGCCTTTGTCGCAGGCTTATGAAGCTGAAATTATTCTGACATGCAAAAAGCACTGTTAATTTTGATCATGAAGAAATTAAAAGCATTGTAAACATGCTAGAAACTATAATCATTTAAAAATGGATGCAAGAAGAGCTAGGTCTGTACTCTGAAAGTTGAGCATCATGCTAGGGATTTTTTTTCCTAAGAACAAAGCACGTCCAACATGCTACTTAAGAGAAGCATTTGGCTCAAAAACACAGAGCAAAGCCAAAAAATATACCAAATGTATCTGCACTATATAGATATACTGCCCTCTCAACCCGCTAACATTCATGCCTCTTTACGTCTCTCTCAGCACTGTTAGTTCACCTTCAGCATGCATAACAGTTGATGAGGAACTGTCCCTCCTACTCTACCTAATTTTGCTCAGCTGATTCCTTGCCCTGGACAATGGCTGCAGTGCGATGAACTCGTCACTTAAAGCAACTCTGTTGGAGTACATCTACAATTGGACAGAGAAGGGATGGAACATACATGTCAGTCAGTAGCAGTAGTAATTTTCTAAGAAAAAGACACAGGACAAGACATTGTTATTTAAGTGGAACACACGTTATATACAGAAACACACACCTGGTACCTTGAGGACAACTCCCAGAATCATCACAGCCAGATATTTTTGGGAGGATCGTACTTAAGTGCACCTTAGCTTTCATTCTAAGCCTATAAACTTACATGACTATACTTTACCTGGAATCCTTATTCAGTATTACCTTCTCTCCTTAATAGGGCTGTGATTTTACATTTACCCCAAGATTTACATTTTGATTCAGACTGTCCTTACTGTCCACTTCCTCCTACTTGCTATAGTCAGAAAAGAACAGAACTGTAGTCAGATGTTACCCAGAATGGGGTAACAGACCAAAGGGCAACATATCAAAGTCAAACATAATATGATGGATTATCTTTAAGGTTATTTAAAAAAAAGAAAAAAAGGGACACATTTAAAACAAACAAATCAACAGTAAAAAAACATCCCCACCCCTCACATCCCCAGTAAAAACCAAAATGAAGAACAAAAACCCACAGACCACACAATCAAACTGAGCCCACTGGGAAAGGCAGAACTCATGAATCCCATCCTGCTATAGAAGTCAACTCACGCTAAGCCTACAAGAGGCACTGATTTTTTTCTTAAAATCACTGTAACACAGAACAATAACTGCATTTAATTAAATTTATCAAATGTTTCTGCCTTAGTTTCCTTAAATTTCTTTATGTCACGGTCAAAATAACTGCAGTGGAAACAAACTGAACCTGCAATTTTTTTTAGAATAGACCCAAAAGGTAAGAGAACGCAGAAATAAGTACATGGATAAGGTTAGGGGGGAAAAAAAAAACAGCTGATGCACAGGAAGGAAACAGCAAGTGTTCAGTACGTTGCTGTAAGTTCTGGTTGTTTGTTTGGGGGAGAAGGGTGGGAGATGACACAAGGGGCAAGATATGTAATTAGCCATGTTCTCCTAAATCAAACATGCAACTAAGAGTCTTACCAGGTCTACCTGAGCAGTTCTCAAAAAAAAAAAACGTGGTTCTTTATCTGAGATTTGAGCTATTAAATTCCTTGAGTGGAGAAAGCAGCTAGTATTCCAGCTCTGAAAAAGGACTAATGGGATATTTGGCTAGCTGCAGGGTCAGCATGAGAATGCCTCAGGTGGATGTTTCTGAACACAAATTAGCAGGGCAAAGTAATTTAAGAAAATCAACATACACTTACACCAATGTAATTTAAAGGTTTGATGCTAAAGTCAGCAGAGCTGATGTAATGCAGTGATAAGTGCTCCATGATACACAGCTCAATGTAACTTACATTAAAGCAAATAGGACTCCACAATGATCAATATGGCACACATTAAACAGCCTAAAACCTAAAAACTGATTCCAGAACAGAACAGGATGCTTTCTGGTAAGATTCCTATGCTATCTGACCTCTCAGTGATGACATGGAAGAAAAGAGTAAAAAAGATGCCAAAGATAACAGGTTATCATATATCATAATTAATAAGCTGAATGCAGCTGAGGGACTCATCATTCCCATACTTGGCACTGACATATGTAGTGATGGAAAGTAAATTGGTTTTTTTTCCCCCCTCAAAAAGATTCAAGATCAATCTATACCAGAGAGCAAGTTACCTTGATCACAAACATAAGTGTGAATAAAACAAACAAAATTAACTGAAGAATTTTCAGATTATCAGAAAATGCATACAAAAGGAATATGCTGAAAAATAAAAACAGAGAGATTAACTATGACAACAACTATGGGTTAAGATAACTTCTTAACTGCACTGCCACTAAACAGAAGAAAACACTGAAATATGGATGAGAATTCTACGTAAAAGAGAGCCTAACTTTAACAGAATGATTCTGGGGAGCTTTTATGGCCTGTATTGGCAAGAGGAAGATTCTGTTATCACAGACTCTCTTTAGGCCTCATTGATGAATTTACGAAAATGCCACATTGGTAATTATCTCTAATCAGCAACAAAATACGTGTTATCTACAGTATGATATGATGAGAAATACTCATTAAAACAAGTTCTACTAAAGTAATATTTAAAATTATTCTTTCCATCAACATCTTAAAAACTAATCAATATCAATTACATTTGAAGAGAACTTCTAATACGTTTACAAAAATAAGTTATCTTTAAAGCTGAGCAAGAAAGTTCCTAATCCTCCTACACAGTTGCAAATCAACATGTAAAAGGCTCAGTGAGCCCTCTCTAAGTGTTTGCTACTGTTAATGCATTGCTTACTTAAGCTTTTAACTCATTCTCATAAAACTGTCCTTAGTTCAGTAATTCTAAATTAAAATTAATCTTCTGAAACGGGAACACTCACCTGTATGTTAAAAGATGACAGCAATGTAAGGGGATACTAAAATATCACAGGAAGGCAATGAGCGTACAAGACAGATTTTAACATCTGTTTTTTTAACATGCTGATCAAGTTGGATATAAAAGCATAATGTTACCTGAGCTTTTTCAGTACTTGTTGGTTGTAGATGCCTGTACAGCACTTTCTTCACAACATCAAGAAACAGACAAGCAACTACTATGAGTATTATGGCAAACCAAGCAGAACCACTTGACAACAGCTGAACAAATACAAAGTACATATCCTGGGTATGTAAAAATGGCCTGAGAAGTTAAAAGAAATGGATATTAATAAAAGGAACTTCCAGAAACCAAGTACAGTACAGATGGACAAGCAGTAAGTCTTTAAGATACAAACTAAAACTGTATACTGCCCAAAGAGATTAGCAATTTCTTGGACTTGGTCTGCAAAAGAACACTGGTAAAAGAGGGAATGGAACTTTGGAGGAAAGTGACCTCCAAGACCCCAAAATTCAAGTATAATAAAAATATATTACTGCACTGATTCAAACATCAGCGCCCTGATTTTTGTTGCAAGCATTCACCTGTTACACAGAACCTTTAGGAATTCTACGTGCTTTTTACAAATAAAAATGCCTCAATAATCACAGGCTGTCAGAGACAATTCCCTCCCTAAGCACGACAGCTTAAGCAGCATGGCTGCCATTTCTAAAAGAATCACCAAAAGTAATTGGTCTCTGTAGGTTTAGAAATTTGTTTTTCAGCACCTACCATAAAATTCAGAGCAATGCAATAGAACATAATACTTTAATGTTCTTTCATGACTTCACTCATGACCTCATTGCACTTTACAACTTTACAACTTCCTGAAGGGAGGTTGTGATGAAAAAGGGTCTGGCCTCTTCTCCCAGGCAAATAGTAGAACCTGAGGAAACGGCCAGAAGTTGTACCAGAGGAGGTTTAGGTTGAACATTAGGAGAAACTTTTTCCTCTCAGAGGCTGGTCAGGCACTGGAATGGCTGCCCAGGGAGGTGGTGGAGTTGCTGTCCCTGGCAGCGTTAAAGAGGCGCCTGGATGAGGAGCTACGAGAGATGGTTTAGTGCTTGTGGTGCTAATAGGAATGGGAGGGTGGTTGGACTAGATGATCTTGCAGGTCGTTTCCAACCTTGCGATTCTATGATTCTATACTTATCATGTATTTAGAGGGAAAAAACAAAATTACTCACCAGATAATTCCCCCATAAAATAAGGAGAATATGAAATAAAACACAATGGAACCCCAAGTAACGAAATGGTTTATCCATGTCCAGAAGTGAGTTTCCAGCGCCATCTGAAAGAATGAGAACTTCAATTAATTTCCTTATTCCCCCCCACCTTACAGAAAATGACAAATGCTGGTCTGAACTCATTTGAATGTGCTATGAACCATACTTGTGCCACAACTAAGTATTTTTCTAACACATACAAGAGAAGGGAGTACAGCAACATACCTTCATCGTAACGGTTATAACCATAACGGTGAAGACTAAAGTACCAAATGTCCAGTTTCCAAACATCTAAGAAAACAGCAAGGTAAAAAGTCAAGGAAAAAAGATGAGCTAACAGCATCAATGGTTAAGTTAGATTTTTCTCAAATCAGCTACACTTATGTAACAAAACCATGGACAAAAGCTTGTGATTTTACTAATTACGAAAAACTAAGAAGGATGCAACATAGAGTACTACAAAAAATTAGCTTATGATAAGAGCAAAATTAACAATCCACATCATCTTCCTTCCTGGTTCAAAACAGATCACCAAAAGCCTACATGAACGATGAAGTAAAACCAAAACAGTTACATGAAATGGTAGGATAAAGATACCAAATTGATTGATTTAATGTAAGCATCTGAACAGAAACAAATACTGGGTAGAAGGTATTCACTTCAACGCAAGTGCAAAACACTTAGATTTAAATAAACATTTTCAGACAGCTTTATGCAGCATCACCTGAAAGTCCACATTTTTCCCAAGCACATTTGTACAATTCAAAAATAATGGTGCCATTCTATTTTTTTCAAAGAAAAAGATACTTTCATAAAGACACTTTGTTTCAAGGCTAATGAACACAAAATTCTAAGACGCTGTCACTTTTGTATTCTGCTGCCCACATACATTAAACATCAAAACTCTGAACAAGTTCTACAACAACAAAATCTCAGCTCTGACACCAAGCAGGGGATGTGGAGTTTGTCATCCATCTACCCACATGCTGCTCAGATGCACACTGCCATTCTACACAGGACCAGCTACTGTGCTTTTGCAAGCAGTCTTGGTGCTGAATCCACAGTTTGCTTTTTCGTAGCTACTTTTATCACTGATGCACTGGAAACAGACAAACTCTCAACCTCAGTATTGGCAAATACCAGCAGCAACCTAAGCAAGCAAGGACACAGGGACCACATGCAGACAGGCAATCAAAATCATCCCAGATTTGATTGGTCAGTGCAGCACAGGGTCATGAAACAAGGATTGGCACGGTTGTAGTCCTTGTTACAGAGCTCTGACAAAGACATATCTATATATCCCAGCAATCTAATCACAGGTCTTACAACTGCTTTTGCCAACTTCATACACAGGAAAAAGTTAAGTCAGACCTTGGTGTGAAAAGTAAATATGAAGCATTTAACAGCATGCTTGCTACTAATTGTTGCAATGATAATCTTGAAATAAAATTAGACCACTGCTTCTGAATGACCTGTGAAAGAAAGTGTCTTTGCTGACACTGTTCTAAAAAGGTCACAGAGTTAAAATGCAAACTGCGAACGGATTCTTGCCACCATTTTATTTTTGAACACTTTTACACTGTGGATGCTGCATCCTTTAATCCTGTGAAGTAACAGATACAATATTTTGTATCTCCTCCTCTTCTGAACTCTTACCATTTGCCTGTTAGGTTTCAATATCTGACGACATGCACAGCATGGAAAAGGGGGGAGAAAAAAAGAACTAAAAGATCAAATTGTTGCAAGATGTGCTGATGAAAGTCTAACAAACGACCACCATTAGCAAATTATGTACAATCTCTCCCATTGTGTTTGGCTCCAAATTGGGAATTCAGAACAAAAAAAATGAAGCTACTGCTGGATTACTGCCTTGCACTGACTCTGTAGTTTATCACACGTGTGAAGTGATGATTTCTTGAAGAAAGCACTTCAGCAGCATGCAGGATTCTCTCACCCTTAACTGCCTCTTAATTTTAGTCACTCAGTTTCTGACCATTGTCCATCATCAGATGGAAATTATCTTTCCTGCTAAACTTTCTAGGCTCAGTCCTATGACCAAAGCAAAGACAGCAAAATAATCTTTTCAAACCAAGTGCCGTAACTTGCAGTTCTACCAATGACTGCACATGAATGAACACACAACTCATTTCAGCAGTAAGAACAGCATAAGGAGGAAAACAAACATCTTTTTGGATTGTTACTCCTAACAGTATTTCGAAGAAGCCAGAATCTGATTGTTCTAGCCTGGGCTAATGAACTGGAGAAATGAAGCAGCAGATTTACAATGGTTTCATTTAAAGTTTTACTGGGTTTCGTTTCGTTTGCTTTTGGTTCGTTGTTTGGTTTTTTAACATGACTTTTCCTCTCAACTTTAATATCATTAAAAAAAAAAAAAAAAAAAAGGGATCAATTTTAGAATTTGGTTTCATTAAGTTAGTTCTTGTCTTTATTCAACTAAAACCATTATTTAATAGCAACTTACATCATCTGCATGTATGTATACTTTAAATCCATCTAAACAATGCATTTTCAGGAGATTTAACACAGGCTGAAATCTGCAAATGGACAAGTTCTGTAACAGAAAACCAAATATCACCAAAGGATACAATGATGGAAAAATCTAATGACAATTTACCTGGCCATTTCCCAGCAATGAAGTGTCTTCTCCCATTAGAAGATACGAACCATAAAAGAAAACAAATGCATGCAAGAAGCCCAAGATGGTCCAGTAAAGAAATGGTTTATACCCAAGATGAGCATTTTTACTGATGTCTCTGCAAAAATGAGTAAATTTTGGATGTTAGACTGTCCATATATACTCCATCAGCTATTTATACTACATCACTATTATTGCCTAGAATAAATGTAACATTCAACTGCAACAAGATATGTTTAATGAATGCAGACTTACAAAAAAAAAAAAAAAAAGGAAATCATGGGCAAAAAAGAACTCAGAGCTGCCTTTGCTTATGCAGAGATCACCAATGGCAATTGTGTTTTATGAGTCAAATCAAAATTAACACACACCAGAATCCTCTTCCATAGAGACAGAATTGCTAGAAGAAATACTCAAATCTCCTGATACTTGCCCACTGTTCTGCTTAGAAGAGCTTCAACTAAACTAAAGAAGTAAACTAAGTGACACCTCTTTCACAAAAATAATGTACTTCTCCACAAGCAGTTTGCAGTACAACATGCTACCACTGGGAGGATACCTAATTCTACAGGAAATAGCTTCCCCTCTTAAAAAAGCATTTTGCAGTGATTCCTCAATGACTGTGGAGAAGAAGTCTACCAATCATGTACCCAAGTCCCTCCCAGACTTAACATAACTGACATAAAAACACGCTTCTCTTAAAACACTACTTTTAATTAACAGTTGGGATGAAAACTATGAGCTAAGTAATCATCCTTCCTTGAGGACAGTTACAAAAAATGGCATAAACTACAGATAGAAATACTGTAGGAATGCACAGTAGCAAGTTCAGACTTTCTGCAGATGCCACTGTTGTGAATGATGTGCTGCTGCTGCAATGTGTGTAGGATATACGTACCGATAAAGCACAGGTTTACTCTGCAATACATGCGGATGCACATGCTGTTCAAAAAGACTGTAGATGAGGACAGGCAAGGAAGTGAAACAAATATTATACAAAGTCAGGTATACACTGTCATAGAGGGTCTGAAAACGGAAATAAAGGTTATTTTGAGATATGAAGAAAAAAGTCGCTCACATTTACTAAAAGTCAAAAGCCACAACATATCATTAATTCATATGAATTTACTAATAGGAAAACAAGCTATATGTACATAACAATCTAGTAACATCAAGTTCTCAAACTGTAAAAAATAAGCTGGATATTTGTTGAGTATTAGATCTGTGAATCAGTGAAGCTCCTTGTAATCAATCTTTTCCATGAAGAAATTAAATTTGTCAACAGCATGAGAAAACCATACAGAAGGACTTGAAACTTTAAAACCTTCCTGAAGTACTCTCAAAGTATGCAGAATGGCTACAAGGAAGTTGCAATATGGTATATAGGAGATTTTTAGAATTAACAGCACCAAATATTTATGTTTACAGTGAAGCAAAGAACTCTTTTCTACTCCTTCAGAAAACAGGTGAATAGAAGAGTTACATGCATCAGAAATAGTTATATATAATCACCCATATAATTATGTTTCAGTACAGGAAATGGACCCAGCAGTTGGTCAATCAAGCTTGAAAAATACAGGCAAAAGTAACATAAACTTCTCTACTGATTTATGATTTTTTCTGAAGGAGAAGAAACAGTAGCCATTTACTTTATTTTGACAGTCATGCTAGCAAGTAGACTTGACAAAAAGCTCCTGCAGAGTCACATTTTAAAAAAATTGTACAAGTGAAATTTCTTCCATATGAGTTCCCAAGCTCTGGGCATAATAAAACAGATATTAAAAACAATCAAACAGTAAATATATTTCTTCCCAAAGAGGGAAAGACTATTTCATTGTTTTCCTTCCAATTTCTTCAATTATTGTACACCTTTAACTAGCTATACAACATCCAGTAGCATCCAATACTTACCTGTTGTGAAAACAAACAGAAGAACTGATATAAAAATTGTGGTGTAATAAAGCACACATTCTGAAAAACAAGAAGTGAGGCAAACAATTAATCCTCCAATATAGAAGACCTTGTAATCTCAAAAAGAAAATGCTAACTTTGGCAAGCTAGTAAAAATACAGCTAGAAAACAAATACGTGCCTTGGTGGCTAACGCAAGAATTCTAGACAAACAGTATCAAATCCTGAAACCAGGTGAACTCATCAAGGCACTTAATACTTCCACCAGAAAGAGGTTTTAAGCAATTGCTAAGTTAAAAACTCATATTTGGTTGAAGAAACATACATGAGTGAAAACATGCATGAACAGAGGTATTACAACTGTACCCAAAAGTGTTACATCTGAACAACCGAGACACAAACAGCATTAATGCACTGATACAGACATGGTGAAAACAGCGGAAGCATTGAGCAAAAAAAGATCTGAATGTAAAGTTTACACAGGAACTTAGGAATTGGCAATGACTGTAATAAGAGATAGCCAATTCCAATAAACAAATTCATTGCTGGGAAACAGATACACTTTTTTTTTTAATGAACTTCACAGGCACACAGTCAGACAACTTACCTTATAGAAAAAGTACTGTACAAGGGTTGCTATTCTAATATAGTAAAAGTGCCCGTGAACAAAAAGCAACTTGGAGAGGAATTTAAATCGTGCTATTGCATAGTCACTATTTCTTACAGCCTGTCTTCCTTCCTTGCCCATGATTCCTGTAATATTTGTGAAACAAGGAAGAGGTTAAACATTATCAAAATGATATACGTATTTAAAACATCAACAACTTACATCTATATACACCTAATCAACACCTAACGTATATATAAAGCCATTGTTATGTTCTTTCACATTTCAACGTTAAGACTCCAATAAGCATAAAAACAAAAGCATTATTCATGACACATCTGAGGGAAAATGCTTGCTTAATGCTGAACCAATAAAAAGAGAAGGTAGAAAAAAAGAGGCTATTTACATAAGCTACACTTAAGAAGAGATTTATGAGAAGACATAGAAATAAGAACATACAAACAAAACCAAGACAGAATTTGTGATAGGTATTAATTCAGATATTCATGTTTCTTCATATTGAGTTACACAACACGGCAGAAAAGGTTAAAGAAGGCTCAAAGCAGATTATAGAAAACAATGTTAATGGAGAATTCTGCTGAAAAAAAATCAGTAACAACTTCCCCAGAGACACAATGCAAGCCTTTACCTCAAAGACAACCCAGACACAAATAGTATTAATGCAATGATACAGACATGGGGAAAACGGCAGAAGCATTGAGCAAAGAAAGATCTGAATGTAAAGTTTACACAGGAACTTAGGAATTGGCAATGACTGTAATAAGAGGCATCCAATTCCAATAAACAAAGCAGAGAACTTCTGAGATTCCGGTTAAAGAGAATCTCTGTTCTTCAGACAGTATTTAGCATGACCTCTGAATATCCATAGACTTCACAATAAACCTAAGACTTCAAAAAGCAAACAACCCGGAATTTCAAATTTCAGCAAACTTCTGCTACAACAGGTGACTCAAGTTCACATTCGACTCTTCACGGATGCAGAAGTGTCAGAAGTTTATCTGTTCATAAACACTATTCACCATCAAACATTCTACTAAAAATTTTCACCTTGTTTGCCTTTATCTCTTTAAACAGCAGTAATTTACCTATGCCAACATGTGCTTCTTGTATCATGCTCACATCATTAGCACCATCACCAATTGCTAATGTTATAGGTTTTTCCGGAGATGTTTTTAACAGTCTCACTACCTGGAAAAAAAAAAAGGCAGTAACTTTTAGAACCATACAGTCTTTCTACAAACTGTACTGTAACCACTGCACATCTTTGATAGTTACCTACCTGTATGTGTAATTACCCCATTTTACGAATGGACACACATGGGTAAGAAACATCTTTGGCTAATTCATTTCTTCTTTAGAAAAGCTGCTCGCTTTTGGCTGCAAGTCTTACTTAAGTATTACACCTGGCTTTAGCTTATTTTGCATAATGCACTGCCCCCACATTTAGCCGTTCTTTCACAGCTTCCTCATAGAATTGAGCTGGAAGGGACCTTTAAAGGTCACCCAGTCAAATTTTCCTGCAATGAACAGGGACACCTACAGCTATATCAGGCTGCTCAGAGCACGGTCCACCCTGACACTGAATGTCTGCAAGGATGGGGCTTCTACCACCAATCTGGGCAACCTGTTCCAGTGCCCCACCACCCTTACAACAAAAAACCTCTTCCTCACACCCAATCTAAATCTCTCCTCTTTTCGTTTAAAACCATTTCCCCTTGTCCTATCACAACAGACCCTGCTAAGGAGTCTGCCCCGTCCTTATAGTCTCCCTTTAGATACCAAAAGGCCACTATCAGGTCTCCCTGGAGCCTGCTGCTTTAACTTGCAAATCAAGCCAAAAGTTAGAATGGAAAACTTAGGGAGTAATCCAGTATTTAAACCCCTTCATCAGACCTGGCTAGATTCTTCTAATTTTCAATGTTATAAGCAGTAAAGGCCACAAAGGAAACTCTGACCTGATGGATTTAAATGTTTAATTATCTTTGTTTTACTTCCCTGAGCAGATGAACTACCAATAGGAGGTTATAGTTCTGCTCCCTATTATTCTACACTGAATAAGAAACAAGTAAGAGAGGAGTAAGGAAAAGGGCCCAAACAGTACATTAACCAGCAGAAGAAAGAAACTTGGTGCAAGGACGGAGAGGGTTTAACCAAGCCACATTCATTCAAGTTGAAAATCCCTTACATATAAAAAGAGATGCATCTCCATGGATTCAATTGTAAGAGCTCAGAATGCAAAGATTTTACTAGAGCAACAGAACACCTGATGAACTCATGAGACGATGCCAGAGCACTTCTTTGAAACATACTTATCTATGGAAAGTACTATATTTTCCTTCCAGAAAAGATTCAGATTAGATGTCAGGGGAAGTTTCTAACAGAGAGAGTGTGAGGTGCTGGAACAGGCTGCCCGGTGAGGTTGTGGATGCCCCATCCCTGGACTGTTCAAGGCCATGCTGTATGGGGCCCCAGGAAACAAGATCTACCACTTGATCTAGCGGTCAGCAACCCCACCCATGGCAGAGGTTTGGAACTAGGTGATTTGAAGTCCCTTACAATCCCAGACATTCTATGCTTTTATGATTTTATGTTTCAAAAGGCATCAGACATAAAAAAATACAAAAATATAAACGAGAGTAGTGAGACGAATGGGCCATATACTGACAAGCAGTAAAATTAAAGAAAAAGATTAAGTAAATACAAATCTGCATTCCATCTTAGCCCTGGAATAAGTTTCACAAAGTATGTCTAAGGTAGAAAACCAACACAAAGCTAGAACAAACTGTCACAAACTTTTTTCCTCACTCAGCCTTCCCATTTTGAATGGTATAATGAAATAGGCAACACAAAACTATGTATGCTATGAAGATAACTGTCACCTTATAAAATACAAGAGAGGCTTACTAAAGATTAGCTTTTTTATTCGACCCCACTGTGGCAGTACTTTGACTCCTTTCCCCAATGTAATTCTGAATTTTCACAAATACACGTATGAACTTCTGAGCAAACTACTCCAATTGAACTGAAGAGAGTCAAAAATCATGTAAAAGGCAAGACAACCAGAAACAAACTATCTCCAGAAATGCCTGTCTTTAAGAAAGCAAGATAAAAGTACTTACAAGACAATACTGACTATATCCATACTTACCTTTGCTTTCTGAAGCGGTGCCATACGACAACACAACACTGCAGAACAGCTTTTACAAACTTCCATGAACAGTTTTTCATGTTCCCTGAGTGCAAGAGAGAGGCTGGTCCCATCCACTACCAGACCATGCTGGATAACATGGTCTTCTTTTATTCTATTGAGAGACAAAAATGTTGATTTTGTAGTGATGTGAAGGAAAACTTTGAGTTTTGTTACAAACTATGCAGTTGCCCATACAATACATAAAGAAGTTAACCTGTTAGACTCCTTTTTCAAGTTAAAGGGGAGGGAGGAAGGGGAATGGAAAGGAAACAAACAAAAAAAAACCCCAACATTTATTAGAGACATAAAATTATAACCATAAAATTTTAAAATGAAAGAAAATCAAGGACATCGCTGAGTTAATGACATCATGGATTTTTACCTCTTGGCTAGCTGCCTCAGCTGCTCTGCGCATGTACTGTCTGATTTGTGCTGTACAAGTTCAAGGATGTTCATGGTTCTATGAAAGTGTCCACATGACAAACTGACACTAACAGCCGTTTCATGCTTATCTCCAGTCAGAACCCACACTTTGATACCAGCCAATCTGAGTGCTTCTATAGTTTCTTGGACTTTCTCCTGCAGTCTACAAACGAGAAAATCTTAGCTAACCAAACACTTCAGAGAAAAAAGAACACATTCTGTAACATCATGATGATTTAAGACTGCATTTCAAGTACGTATTTCCAAGAACTACAGTTTAGTAATGACATTCAGTTATGAGCAAAAGATTTCATGAAGTTAAAGCTGAATTTCAATAACACTGTGGCAACTAAAAATTCCTAATAAGCACATCTCAATTTAAATTAAGCACTATCACTGCATTTGAAAAGCTTTTAAACAGTTTGTCACAAATACTAACTAATGTGGTGCATGAAAAGATCTGAAGTGCTCCATCTGTACATTCTAACAGATAATACACACTCTAACTTACAAACATTCTGCTTGCATGTTGCATGCTCTGTATATTAGCTACATATGTAAGTTTTCACAAGGAATTAGCTATCAAGTTTAATGTTTACTAAATTATATGAGGGATATGGTTTAGTCAGAACTACTGGTGATAGGTGGATGCTTGGATTGGATGATCTGCAGGTCTTTTCCAACCTTGGTGTTTCTGCGGTTCTGAGATTCTGTGATTCTATTCCAATTTTGTTTTAAATTTCTCCTAATTGTTCCAATTTTGCATTAAATGTCTCCTAATAAAGCTCACTATGTCACTGTTACATTGCCAAAATCAGTTTGTACAACATATGTTTTCAGTGTTCCTTAACTCAAAAAGGAGGTAAACTAAACAAAAATAGCACAGAACTTCCGGCAATGGCAGGACATCTTCCAGTGGCATGCATCATAATACAGCTACAGATCCTAAACTTGCTGTGCTTCTGAACATAGCTTGCAAAACGTCAATTACATACTTGTCTTCTACTCCAGTAGCCCCAAGCAGTTCCAGATCCCTTTCTATGAAGTTGAATACATCTGCTAATTTTTCTTCCCGCTGTTGTAAGGCAGTCCTGGCCTCATGAAGGCGTTTGCCAATTTCCTGGTATTCCTCTGGTGTGAACCTTCTATATGCCACGCACAAAGTTCGTAGTCCTTTCTATGAGAAAACAGAAGACTACTAATTCAAGACTAGACTAGATTTTGGTCTAACAAGGCATCAACTGCAACTCGTTCAAGTCACAGAGTCTGTACCAGAAGAACCAGAAAAATCAGCTGGGCAGGATGACTACACTTACCAAAGCAAATTCATCAACATGTATCCTTGTTTTGTCTATTTCTCCACTCTTACTACGAGGAAGAATGGAAGATTCTGCTCCCTTTGTGAATAAAAGCTTTTCCCCTAAAAAGGAAAACAGGATAGAAATTAAGAATATATTTATTACTTCACAAGTTCTCAATTGTAACTTCTCATCACTTACCCGAGGGACTCTCTACAATGACGCTCATTCGTCTGCGATTTGGATCAAACTCCAAAACATGAAGCAACTTGTACCTTTATTTTGTGTTTTAACAGAAGAGAACACAGTTTTAGAAATAAATTTCCAAATGCAATTGCTTACAACTGCAAATGCACACTTATCCCCAGAGCTAATCCCCAAGTGTCATTTTTATATTGAAACTTCACAATATTTCATTGAGCAACAATCACTGTTATCTGCATTTCTGCAATTAGTTGTTTTTCATTACTTTGTATATATCTATGTACATGAAAGGTGTTATGACATGCTGCAGATACACAGTAATTTTGGGAAAGATGTAACTGGATTATGCATGTGTGAGACTTGCTAGCAGAGCTGATTCTGGGAGTTTCTAGAGCTGAAAGCACAAACCATGGAAACTGAATAAGCATCCCAATTCCTTTATGTATTTGTAACTCTACTAGAGTCACACTTTTGAAGAACGGTCAAAGATGCAAACCATTACAATATACAATTACACAGACAACTCTCACACAAAGTTCTTGCATCTCAATTTGAACTCTTAAGGACTATGATGCAAGCTGTCTCAAATACGTTAAGTCATTCTTACAAGAACAAAGGGTTTTTATTTGTTTGTTGGTTTTTGTTTTTTTTAAAATGAAAATACCTTTCTGGTTTTCCAAGACTTTTTACTTCCATACTGTCCCCACTAGTTCCCATAAATACTACTCCAACCCTAAAAGTAGAAGAAAATAGATATTTATTTGATGCTGTGGAACTGTACATGTAATGCCTCCTGGATGCTAAATGGAAAAAACCAAAACACTTCATACAGTTCTTCAAAAACAACACAATGCATTCACTGTCATTTCAAAAGGATTTCCCTAAACATTTCTAATTCTGCATCACAACATCCCTAGGCTTCTATGCATTATGTTTTTGAATGTTTTCATAATAAATTGATGGCAACAGGCCTCAGGCTTTAAAATTTCTCAGAGAAATATTTTAAGATTGTTCTTGATACAAATTCCTTGTCCTAAAAGGCAATTTCTGCAGCACGTAAATTTGGCTTAAACCTCACCGGCTTGCAGCTTCAACTAAAGCTTTCTCATCTGGTGAAGAAGCATAATACTCCAATGGGGATGCTATTCCATTGGCATGCCAGGGCCCATCGGCACCATCTGTTTGGTCTGCACTGATCTGTACTGTATGACAAAGACAAACTGCTTTCAAGAAGAGTTCTTCCTCTTTCATCTGTAATAAAGAAGAACCATGATTTGCAACATTTAGATATCAACCCACTTTTGTACATACTGTAAAGTCAAATATTCCACGTAAAATGATCTCGACTATTTAATAAATATTTTTTGTTCAGTAACACTTAATAGCTTTAAACTACTCTGAGATCCAGATTTTTTAATTTAATGCTAATACCAGAAGGATTTTCTGTCCCCGACATAAACACTACCTAAGATGCCTAATGGTGAGGGAAAAAAAATAAGTCTTACCAAAGTATGCCTATTTCCATCTGGAGAATCTTCAGAAAACCCCTCTGGAGTCAGTTTGCCATTGACCTCCTGGTACTTTATGCCGTTAATGGAGCACTCCCGAAACTGCATCTCATTTTCAGTTAACGTACCAGTTTTGTCTGTAAACACATACTCTACCTTTTGGAAAATAAAAATAAACAAATAAATAAAACAGATGTGGAGTAACATTTTTTTTATCAGGAAAAAACAAAACAAAACAACACAATGAATAAAAACCCTCAACTTAGTTCTCCCACTTCATTACCCACCTTTTTTGATCTTGAAATAATTCCAATTTTGACCATAAAATCACAAGCTTGAATCTTATTTTCAACTAATCAGATATCAAAGCACTTTCAATAAAAAAAGTCTGTAATAGTAAGCTTGACTATTAAAAAAGAAGTAGAAATGAAGTTAAATAGAATTTCTACCTGTCCAAGTTCCTCATTGAGGTCTGAAGTATTTACTTGAGCTCTCTGATTTGTCTCTTCATGATAGAGGTCAAGATCCCAGCCAATAAAAAAAGATCCAAGAAACTTCTGCATCTCAACAGTTACATAAAGTGAAATGGGTATAATAAAATTGTAAAGTACCAGAAAAGCAAGGAAATCTGAAATAAATCTCAGAATCTGTGAGAGAAAAGAAAAAAATATGAAGATTAATGCAGTGATCAGGTCAAGCATGGCTGACTAGTTTTGGTTTTTTTTTTCCAAATATGTGTGGAAAAAAAAAATGTATGCAAGAGCAAGAGGAGACCAAATTCCTTGCTTAAATGAAATGGAATAAATATATAGCCCATTTTCTTCTGATATAAAAACATTCCAGAGTCTACTATAATTTATACAGCAGTTACTTCACATTAAGAAGAGGTTAAAAAAAAAAAAAAAATTACTGCGATCAACTGACCACTTCAACAATGGAAAGTGCTGTAAGTGGTTGCAGGGACTAAAAAGAAAAATCACTAAACAATTTGAAAATTTGTGAATTTCTTTACTACTCCTCAACACTGACACCTGTAGATAAGGCCATTTTAGAATACTGAAAAGTTTGTGATAGCTGTACTGACAACCAGAACTAATCACTTAAAGAACACTTGGTATTGAGATATTTTCCCATTTGAACTACAAAGATAGTTCCCATTACACGTTTGAGGAAGCTCTCTGTTCTCATGGATGCTGGCACATTTTTAACTATCCTGGAAGAATCAAAGAAATTCTCCAAGTCCTTCTATTCTCCTCTCCAAACAATTATGTACTAACTTTAATTTTTGCTCTGCTTATGAAACAGAACAGAGCTTTCTAATTTGGGATTTGAACCTTTTTACGCAAAAGGCAACTGGTGAGCAGATTCAATTCTCAACTCTATGGGAGACAAAAGGAGTGTTAAATGCCTAGCACCATGTCACATGTGGAAACTGGATTTTTAACACTTCTGTGATATAAGAATGCCCTCTAATTCTTAGAATCAGCTCCAGTCAGCTTCTAAACTGCTTTGGAATACACCAGACTCACACAGAAATCAAACAGAAAAATACAGAATGATTACAAAACAAAACTCAGAAACAAAATAAATTTTACAAGTCTGAACTGTATTTAAGTGTTCGATTTAAGGAACACTTCAAAGTATCCCTTCAATCTTGGAGATTAAATTTTTCTACGCCAGGGCCACGCTACAATGGACTAAAGCTCTTTCAAAAATACCAAGAACACACATACTTGCACATAGATCATGTGGTAGCTACATCTATTTCCAAGAAGAGAGACACAATAAATATTGCACTTAACATCTACTAGTTGAAGTTCCTCAGATAAACTACTGGGTAGAACCACATTACCTTACTGCTGTTCCTTTCATGTTCTGTTTTATCATTATACCAAGGTTCATCCCATTTTTCTTCAGCTTGCCAGGCATACTTTAAAATAGTACTCAAAATGGCTTCAAAGAGGAGGATTATTAGATAAATAATCAAAAAGGAATTCATAGACCTAGAACAAGGCCAAAAAAGATTCAATTTCAGTTTATTTCACTGAATCTGTCGACACACTATGTACATATGACCTGATCAGAAAAGTTAGTGGATGTTTATTGACCTGTATTTCACATGGACCCAGTTACTATGTGACAAAAAAAAAAAAACAAACCAAAAAAAAAAAAAAAAAACCCAAAAAAAAACAGGAAAGAGAAGAAAATCAACATCTGGCTAATATGCATTCTACATACAGTCAACAGGAGGACCAATTAAGGTGCAAGAATACATTCTCAGTTGACTTGTATTACACCTGTTGTCCAGAATTCTGAGGGCTGACAGTCTTCTTCCAGACATTCCCTTCTTTCCCAAATATCTAGTGAGGCTGTGATGGCAGCAGAAACAACTACCCCAGAAATTCAAAGCTGAACCTTCCTCCTCAATTAGAAGAGCACTTCCTTGTCCATCTAGTTATTTAACTCTAGGTATGCTATATGAAGGGGACTTCTCAAACATTCTGTTATGTCCTTCTACCCCTCTGATGACAGAATTTTTTCTTGTGCAGCCTACAGATTTGTTTCTATCTGACTACAGAAGAATAATCAATCTCACATTTCCAAGAGAATGTGATGATGCACTCTCTGTTTTTTTTTTTTTTTGTTTTTTGTTTTTTTTTTTTTTTTTTTTTTTTGTAACAAGAAAGGCAACACATCAAAACTCCTTTTTCTTTTAAAATAATTCAGTGAGTTCAACATATTAAATCTCTATTACAGGAACATTCATCACCTATTTATAACACAACTTTTTTAAAACTGAGCCTACAACTTGTGTTAGAAACAAGATTCACTGTAGAAGATATCCTTAAGGACAAAGCCTATGCAGATACCCAAAACAAAACTATATTCCTGTTGTATCAGATACCAGCAGTCAGGACAAAGATCTGCAAGCAATTAAGATTTTAGTTCATCCTATTTAAAGACACGATGCAGCCTTATAGTAATGTTGCAGAGACAGCAGAGGCTACAACTGCTATGAAGAATACTTCTGTAAGCACCTTGTTCAAGACTGCACTTCACCTACCATTAGGTGTTCCCTGCTCCTACATTAACTTCTGCTGCCTACGTCCTGAGTATTACAAGTCTGTGTGTTACTTAAAGAAACAATAAAGGATATAATTACACAGAAGGAAAGTAAACCAACTGTCCTCTCTTCCCTTGCCTACAACCTAACAGTGGGATCACAAGGCTACTTAAGTTAATGAGAAAAGACTAAACAACAATTCTAAAAGCAAGAAAGGTATTAGAAAATAAACATACTTTTCTACTGCTGACCGTTTCTGAGATTTACTCTTGTAATTTAATGCCATCTTTGTCTCCATACCTGTATACACTGCAACACCTGGGAATAAAGAGGAGAAAGGATATTGCTCTCTGCATGTATGCAATTTGTGGCATTTTTCATTTTGTTTAAGAGACACAGACTAAAAATCAAGAGGTGACTATTATTTTTGTATTTACTTCAGTGCAACAGTGAGACAGTATTTTGTAATTATTTGCAATATTTCACTATGGTAAAACAGTAAATATTGCAGTAATTTTAACACCTACTAAAATACTGTCCATTATTATTTCTTACTGCTCTTTAATACGTATTTTATGGAAATCAGAATCTCAAGAGAAAGTCTTGAACAATGTAACAGTAATATCAGTCATTTAACCATTAAAGTTACTCCTTTATCAAACCACTTGAAGTATTTTCATAAAGTGATGTTGAAACTCTGTATCCTTAGAGATTCTTTAGTGTAATAGCATTACTTTCATCTACAATCACATCTCCTCAGGTAACCACCAGGAAGATTATCACAGTCTCTTCACTGCAAGTAGAGTCAAACCACAGTTCATCACCATGCTTTAAGAAGAGTCTACAAACCAAATATTTCTTTAGTGTTTTTTAATCTTGCTCCACGAAGTAAGAGACTTTCAGGCCCCAGAGGTCTAAAAAGAAATAGACATACCAGCATTTAAAAATGAGTTGTTCCATACTCTGTGGGGCTAATGACATCCAGTTTCCTATGCAAAGAGGTCAAATGCGTTCTGTAAATCCCCTCTCATCTCCAGAGCTTTCAGTTTCATCCTTTGGTCACCCCCCCAGTATCCTCCCACTAGCAGCTAGCGCTAAATGTTCCAAATGTCTGGTTCAGAAAGAGCTGCAAGTTAAGTGAAGAGCCAACATGCCAAAATCCTGTCGAGTTCACAGTGCAACCAGAGTGTTATTTCAGTTTTATCTGTTTTATCTTACTTCTACCCCTCTGTCAAACTGAAATTCTCTGCCAGGTTCAAAAGAAATTATTCAAATCGGTAAAATAAAGATGGATGGACAATATAACCATGCAAATTCTGGTTTCTAAAGCAAAAAGATAAAATTTTACATGTGCTTTTTCTCTTCACATCTATTAGGTCAACATAATCCATTCATCTGATCAGCTAACTGCAAAACGTGAAAATAAAAAAAAACTTTGAAAATAAAGGCACAGTTATGGGCAAAGTTCATACAAAGTTAATTTTGGATACTTTACTCCAATAGCTGCATTAGCTTAAATGGAAATCAATACTGCTTTCATATTTGATTCACGTAGAAGTTTTACTAGAAAAGTATAACATTTATAAACATTAAAGAGTGAAAGAATCACAGCACTAGCTTATTTCTGTGACACACTTAGCATCATGACACAAGATCACACTTTGAAGAGAAGTGTCTGACTCGTGTTTCTGTTGTTTGGCTGACTGCTCTTTTTTGTTAGCTTGTTTTTTAGACTCAGCCACGCTGCCCTCAATAGAAAACAATCTGTGTACTAAATATTCAATTTAAAACACCCCTCCCTGATGCTTATTCAACCATAGCTTTTTTTTTTGTGATGGTCAGTTTAATTACCACTATGTTCTTAACATTAATCTGACAGAATTTTACTTACCGTACTATTTCCTCCATTTGTTGGCTTATAGTTATTCTTCCAACAAATCTATGAAACAGAGTAAACAGGGTCACGTGTCAGATATATCTACATAAAATCTCAAAAGGGCAAAATGAAATAAAATAAACACTGAGCCATTCCACATCTACATAAAGACCATTAACATTTCTCAAATACAAAATAATCAGTCTTAATTAACAGTGCAAATAAATGAGAACAATAGGGCAAAGGCAAAACTGGCAATAACTTTCACAAGGAGTCCTATATTGAACTGAAATCTCCTGAAGGAATTATATCCAAGTTTCTTTCTTCACCTTGCCTGGACTCACTGTCCACTTAATTTTTAATAGTTTGGGAAGAAGTTTACTGTTTAGAACAGAAAGGTACATAAATAAGTGTTATGATTAAAACTCAAAATGTAAGTACGCTATGGTTTCTCATTTAGTATTGAAATACTCCAACTCATCACATACATAAATGCTTACGCTCATAATTAAATCCTGAGATACAAACATATGTTTGAAACTACTTTAAATCTAGCAAAACCCATCTCTCTCCTAATAGTGAACACATCATTAATAAGCATTTTGAAACAAAGTCAAAATTAATTATACCTGTATAGATCTGCCTCTGGCTGCTGACATTCTATGACAGCTACAAGTTTGTCCAGGTTGGCAACTGACTGTAACACTGCTGTTTCTGGGACTGCAACATGTGTCTGGAAAACACCATCCATTAACTTTCAGATAAAGAAATCAGATGGCATCACATACTAGCTACATTCTACTTCATAACAGTAATCCAGACCTTAAGATTAGTTTCGCCATCCAAACTTGCGGTAGTAACATGGCATGAACCGTCCACTCGATCAGAAGATAAAAGCACCAGATCAACAGGAAAAGTCTCATCTTTGGCTACTCTGACAATGTCTCCCACCTAATGAAATGAAGATAAATGAGAAGTATACAAAAAAAAAGTTTGAGAAGATTTAAATTTATAACTGTTCTTGAATCATCATGAACATCATGAATCATCATGAAACAGAGATTAATAATGAAACAAGACCTTCAGTTGTTGGGTTGTTTTCTTTTTTTAAACAGTTTCACTCTGTCTTTAGGCACATACCCGAATGTTTTTAGATCTAGTTTTTACAAGGCCACCGCTTCGAACAACATAAACTGGAGCACCGTTTACTTCATTGTCTGCTTTATGTCGTAGCCAGTCTTCATAACCCTGTGAAAACACACATTTATTTTCCAAGCATAAACTTGTGAAGCATCACCTCTTTTAAATAAACATGCTTCAAACTGCTTGCTGTACAGCCTCACGTGGAGTTACTTACTTCTCTCCAGCATCAATCACAGCTGTTACTCAAGAAGCTGAGAAACCATTTACTTTACTCAAGTAGAAACAGTGCTGAGGAAACACAACTGTCCTGTGTTTTGATAAAACAAACTGACATTTTGTATGGATGTATCAACAAGCACTCATTCAGTATGAGATCTGTATGGATTAATACACCTCAAAACATGGACCAGTCACTCGTAGTCTCTCTAATGGATTTTTGTTGTTGCTGTTCTATTTTGTATTCTATGCTGATGTATTTTTAATACATAAATTAAGCAGAATTTCTTTACAAGACACTTGGCATCTCTTCAAGCATCCTTTATTCTGTGCACATGTGCAAACATTCATGAGAGTGAATCCAGGTGCACTTTTCCTCTCCTGCTTTCTTAAGAAATTAATACATTTTTTACTTAACCTAAAAGCACGGTGACAAATAGCATGATCTTGGACTCACAAGTCTCAGTACTGCCTGCTAAGTGCTACAAGTGAGCTCAATAAATCTGTCTGTCTACACAAGCCGTTCAGCTGTAATATATCTTTCTGGGAAAAAAAAAAAAAAAAAAGAGTGCTCATAAATAAGAAGTTAAGCAAGTATTACTGAATAGCTTTAAGTTCTGCTTCTTGCTCGCTAAGCCTAGTCAAATAAACAGGAGATGAATGCATGCATGCATTCAACTCCAATAACAAAAGCAGGCTTACAGGAAGAGTACGTAAGATGTCAGTTAGGAATTAGAAAAAAAGCTTACTCAATATAGAAAAGACATTTTCTGGCAGCTGGTTCATAAACTTACATTAATGCACAGAATGAAACAAAACAGTGCTGCCATAAAATATTATGCATTAAGAAGCAAATGATGATTCTTAAGAATCCTCAGAATTCATGAGCTTCTGGTAAAACCACAGAGGATCAAAAATTCTCCACCACCTCATACCTCCTGGCAAGATTTCCACGACTGATTTGCAATAGTAGAGACATTTCCCAGAATGCTTCTATGCATAAAATAACATGAAGAAGAGTAAAAACAACTTCCGTGGCAAGCTGCAAACAGGAAAAGAGGGTCCCCTGAAACAGCATTCATAATCCCAACTCCTATTATGCTAGAGAAGTTGTATAAATGTCCTAACACAAAGGCTACTAACACAGATGCAGCTGAGAACTCCGAGCCTTGACTTGCATTTGAAAGGAAATTATTTGATGAGTTCCACATGCTCAAGCACAGTTTTGCAGTTTTACCTTCATGCAAACACACTGTCACTAGCATAAATGAAACCAGCAAGTACGAAGCTACCTAGGTTACTACCAAAAAAGGGAAAAAATTTACTTATTTTATATGCTAGATGCTTAAAAATTATTAAAATGTCACAACAGAAGCCACACAGCGATACTGGGAAATTAGAATCCTGAAACTCTCTAAGACTCTTTTCTAGTTAGTGTGAAAAACTTCAAGAGCCAGTACCTACAGATCCTTGTTAAAAGGTGACTGACAGAAGAAAACAAGAACTCGAGGAAGATCGAGTAACCTTGGGGTGTTTGTCTCATAAATCTGAACAGCTGAGCAATATGGGCATTTGGCAGAGAACAGGAATTTACCTTCTTTAGAAAATACAGATTTCAGCGCTTTCTCCATCTGACACCTACTGTCTGCAACATAATGGTGACACCTCACTCCAGGGAATTCTTAAGAGCCAACTTCCTACGGCCAGTGTAAATTCCCCCAAAGTTTACCCACTGCAGCATTTTTGAGGAGTACCTTAACCTCACTTGAAAACGTTGAAAAAGTACTACCAAAAGAAAGATGCGGGAGCACTCTTGAAGTTGCTTAATTGCATGAACAGAAAACAGATAAAAATCACTCTGACCATATTTTTAATTCCTGCTAATAAAAGAGCATCTGTGTACTTTAGTCAAGAATAAATTTAAAGCAGGCCTGCAAACTGGACTGCATGGTTTTCACTCTCAGTTTACTTGTATATTTAACCAAATTCTGCAAAGCAGTTACTTCTCATTCATATGGCAACCATGTAAATATCCATGTGTCCAATAAACTTATTTGCTAAATACTTAAGAACTTACTGAAATGCACCAAGTTCCCTAAAGTTCCTTAGAAAATGTTATCTGTACAAGATAAAAATAAAAAAAACATCTGTTCTGTTTTTCTTGACTGTTATTTTTGATTCTTCTGTGGACTGCCTAAGCATCTTCAGAGGCAGCAGGAGGAAAGTGTTCCAAACTAACAAGTTCAACAAAATGACACAGCATGAGTTGCAGCATTTTGCAGTCTTTATGTCCTTCTTCTGACCTAGGTGCAATTGCACTTCTGATAAGAAAAGGTTCCATTTCCTTGGCTGAGATTAAAATACAGTGAAGTTCTGAAGGAACTTTTTGATAGGGATACCAAGTTAACTGGCCTTATGAAAACACGTTAGAGTTTTTCCATCTGCTGCTGAACTTCTCAAACATAAATACAGATAACACCTCTCATTTCCCTTTTAACTTTGGAAAGACCTCTGAATTACTGTTAAACATTTATCCCACGTAATTTGTACCCTGAGGTTCTGCTAGAAACTTCTTCCTATTCCACTTCTGGTGGAGAGAAAATGGGAACTGGTTTGGAGACCATATTGGGTGTTTTCCTCTGCATTCCAAAAGAAGATTTATATTTCCCTCTGGTTCAAGTGCAGTCTGTTGGAAAGAGTACACTGAACTGTCTTTCCAAGGTAAGAGCTTGTGAATATTGCTTGCCCACTTTGCAGCTGGTAGAATAAAGACAAGAGTCCATCAGATCAGATTCAGTGGTTCCAGCAGCCCTTGAAAATAAATCTGAAATGGTCAGAAAAAACTCATAATGCTCAACAGCTCATACATGATTTGAATTTCCTGGAATGAATTTCGGAATCTCTGTTCTTCTCAGGTGATGGTAAAATATTTAAATTTCCCAATGTAAGACTGGACACCGGGAAACAAGAAGGCAATAGATCATCTTGGACTACTTTGGACTTTAAACCACACCCTAATATTTGTAACCAACTTTCAACATCATCTTCATCTTATACTGCTTTAGGTGAAATTCTCTACAATGACAGCTCTTGAATACATTTTTTGGATGTCAGTGTAGCAACTGAGTTGGGTTAGGGCTCTGCATATATTAACTGCACAGCAATAAACCGAATGGCAATTCAGAGATTTCTACAGCATTAAGTCCCCCTCTGCCCCAAACACCAATCTGACTGAAAGCCAGAGCTATTTTTATTTTAGCCCTACTTCAGGGTGGTTTTGTGTCTTGCTGTCACAACAGGCAAATTGAAATTCCAACTTTAACTCCAAATCATTCTCCTGCTTAATTTTCAGTTGCTATGATTGAATGTCTTCTCAAGACAGCACTGTAAAATCCTCTGAAGGGGCTAGCTCCTGAAAACTATCTGTCTGCAGAAACAATTATAGTTTCTAGCCACATCACCACTTTATTTCAATGCTTGTTTCTTTCTCCTCTCACCTTAAGGGTAAGAAGAAAGCAGAAGATTCCCTTTCTACATTAGCCTTAGAGGGTTTGTAGGTCTTCCCAGGATCCAGTCCAGTGCTTAAAGATTCCTACCCAACTCATAAGATTTTTTTTTATTTCAAGTGCTGTAAAGTATTCCAAAATGTTTTATGCAACTGAAAAAAAAAAAAAAAAACAAACAAAAAACCCCCAAAAAACCCCAAAAGCAGAAGCTTCCCAAAATTCCCAAATGGTATCTTTTACCTAGTACAGGATTATAGTTAATGTATACTTCGTGCCATGAAACATATCCCTTGGAGCAAAATTTGCCTTTTAACTACTGACAGACACAGGTTGCATCACCTACCCAAGCTCCTTTCTCACAGTTACACAGAAGGATTAATTTTAATACATAGTGAGGTGTGCCAAAGGAATAAGCGAGGGGCTTTCAGAAAAGGTCTTACAACAAGTGACATGTAATGCTGAGACAAAAATGCTGTCTGACAGTCATTCACTTTAAGGGTACTACGGTGAGTCATTGAGAGCTTGACAACTAAGCAAAATGATGAAGTGCCTAACAAGAAACATAAAACAGACAAAGTATTTCTGAAGACATCACTTTTTAATTGTTGTTTCTAAACATTATCTTGGTCAGACTTTGTTAATTAACTTCACCTTAAAGCCACAAGATCCATGCTACAGGATTTTTTCCCCGTTACCTGCTTTATGGCTGTCACAGTTATGACAAAGAACAATGGCAATCCGCTCGTAATAGGACTGGTTGGGGTATCTATCATGAGCTAAAAGAGAAGAAAATGTAAAAATTAGCCCCAATTTGATTTTACAATTGTACTAAAATTAATTTAAAAAATAAACAAACCCATGACAATTGTTTTTCCAAGTTCTATAGGAATTCTACTGGACATCCTTTCGTCTTGAACAAAAGTCACTTCCTGACATCTAAACAGATGTCAATAATGGTACAAAGGTGCTAGGCCACAGAACAGACTTAATCACACCTGTAAGCACGTGCCAATCTTATGACTCATTGCTAAAATATATATTTTCACCTTATGAAGTCAAATCTACATTTTGCTACGCAGTTTCACTATTCTATACAATCAACTGCTTTACAGCAGTACAGAACATAACAACAAACACTTCAGAAGTGAAAATGAAGTTAAAAAACAGCAGTTGCCAGCAGTTCAGATATTAAAGAAGCCCTTTTCCTAGACAGCCCCTTTTTGGTTCCTCCAACGTGCACATTTCACAATTTGTGCTATCATTGTTTTCATGCCATAGTGCAGTGTATACACTAAAATGTGTGTGTGGGGGGAAGTGGTATGCTGGTGGCTCTTCTCTGCTGCAGGAAAAAACATCACGGTCAAGTGCTGCAAAGAAAATATACACAAGAGGGCTATTCAAAACCACAGATATTGATTTGATTCACTTTACCTGAGACTTATGGCATTGCTTTGGGAACCATTAAAGAAGAAAAAGAAAATCACATGTGAAGTTTACTCTATTAAGAGCCAAGAGCCACAGAGAACACAGATTATGACATTACAACACGTGCACTATTTATTTATTTCACTGAGATGCAGACAACTTAGAAAGTAACAACAAAATCAGACCTAGCTCGCAGTACCGCGTGTTCTTCAACTGCAGCATTACAATTTCAGCCCAGCAGCACCCTGTCCCAGACAGCCCCTGCCAGAAGCCTCTAGTTATGGCCGGATAAGCCTAACTATGACATTTCTGCCATTTGCAATCTCTTCCTCTTTCTCAAGATGGGCTCACATGTTAAAGGGGGGCAAGTTTTCTACCAGCGGAATCACCATGGCATATTGTTCCTCTTCTTACGTCACCAGAATGCCACAGACCAGTGCCTGCTAAGAGGTGGACACATATCCATTCACAGCTGGTCAGAGCATCAGGTAACCAAAATGCAGTCTGCCACTACGTTTCTGGCATGCATATGTGAGGTGGACAGCGTGGATCGGATTGCACTACACATTTAAACACACAATAAGAACTCGCCCAGCCCTGTCATCCCCGGTGGAATAAAGTGGCATTGACAGGCACTGCATTGTGGTCACATGAGATTCACACAACAGAGAAGATACCATGGTGATCAAATGTTAAAGGCATCTTCGCCTTGTAAAAAGAAAAGTATTATGCATTAATGAAATTCTAGATGAGATTTGAATAAAAACAAAATTCTGTTCAATAGAAAAACAGCAATGAAGAACAAAAATGACTGCAGCTTTATTCCTATTATGTTTCCAAGAACAAAGACATATACACAAGACATACAAATTAGGGTATTCATTCAAGTCATAAATTAAGAGAAGAATAACATAACACTGAATAGCAGTTCTGCCTTAAGGTTCACATTGGTTCATGGGCATTGCGTTTAGATATTACTTCAGTCTAAACTAATAGTCTGAAGAAAAGTGACTGAAATTGAATTATGTAAGTAAATTTGCACTAGGAAGAAACAAAAGCTTGAAAAAAGCAACACTTTGTGGTAACTGTAAGTAGCATTTACATTCCATCTCTGGCATGTTCCCATCTTCCTCGTGCTATGATCCACTAAACAGTATGGGACACCACAACAGGAAGGACAAAGTCAGTATCTTAACTACGACAACAGAACAGGAAGCACATCCTGTTAAATGAAGCCACAACAATATGACTTTCTTTAGGGATCCTAGCAATCCCTAACAAGAATTTTCAGTCTATTAGAAAGTTTACTCTTTTTAAATGTGAGAGAAAAAGATCATGGGACACAAGAGGCAATGGATTAACAGATGCACAACTGGCTGTGCTACTTACACATGACAGAGTCACAGCCGAATCTATCCAGCACTTCAGTACTCTGGTTTTTGTCATGAGGCACCACCTTTTTCACGTGCATAATGTAAGTACTGGTCAATCACCACAGAGGGTTGTACACATGCCAACTATTTTACTTCACAATGAAAGAACAGTTTATGTAACCCAAAATCCTGTCTCTGTCTTAGATATGAACCAAATCTTTCAAGTGGTATTTTCTCTCCCTACCATCTCTATCTCACTTATCCTTCATCTAAGTCTGCAATAGCTCTGGAGAATTTCAGTACAATTACAGAGCTGGAGGTACAAATATCACAGTAAATTTACAGTCTTATCCCTTAATATACTCGCTGATGTTATTAATTAAAAGAAATATATCTGGCTACAAAAGCCGCAGTGGTATTTTTGACCTATACTTTACTGGCAGCCCTGATACCTTCAAATCCGACAAACTGTCAACCCTAGCTGTAAATTCTGTGTGCTCCTTTTATGTGAATTTGAGGAATTCAGAACTGCATGACAAACTTGTGTTGATTTACACAAGTAAGATCCCATACAGAACAAGAATGTGCAACACTGTCCAATTTGATGAAAGCAAACTTCAAATTTTACCAGCAAAGCTGGAAATGTGTTGTTTTTACAGGAAATTGAGAAGTTAAATAAATTCATAGAATGGAAAGCGAGCAGCAGAATCCACAACACAAATGGCAATTACCACCTTAATTTCTATGGCTAAAATGAGTATTATTCACTTACCTGAACCAAAAATATTATCAGAAAATAAAAGTTGGCTATTCTTCTGAACTGTTCAAATAAGTTTTTTGGAACAAAATTCCACACTGTATACTGAAGGCAAAAAAAAAAAAAAATAGTTACAACATGCTGAACAGTAGAATTCATTTTCTCTCCCATCAAACTCTCTTAATTCCCATTTTCCATCTGCCCTCCCCAAACTGTGTCTTGGCAGTGCCCTACTCCCAAAAAGAACAGCTGTATCCAGTCTCATGGGCCCATGAAGGGCACCTAGAAGGAAAGCAGGAGTAGCAACTGTGTTGCCTTTACAGACATTTTAACTGTTCTCATGCCAATTTGGATAGGAGAAACCAGACTAATGTAGTTTCTTGCAGCCAGGCTACCAGAGAACAGATTTATTCTTGCAGCTATACCCTTTCTCTCCTACACTTCAATGACAAAACACCATCCCCATCCTATCAGTTCTGTTGATTCCTATCCAAGGTCACACTGGGAGGGAACCTGCAACAATTCCTTGCTTATGATACGGCAATTTTACAAATCTTCACCCAAAAAAACCCTTCACCCTTCCTACTAAATCCAGACATGGGCTAAACTAGTTTAAAAGCCACTTTAGAAGCCCCGACCAACATCATTCTAGACACAGGCTCTGGGGAGAGAGTGATGGGCTGTACCAAGTATTTCCCCTTACCTTGGATGATATGATTCTGTTGTCTGCAAACTTCTGAGGAACATAATGGCCATGCTGGGGAAAACGATTTGCTATATAAATAGTTCGTGTATCGCTTTGATGCGGTGGGTCAAAACCCTAGAACACAAAATGAGAGGAAAAAAAAAAAAGATGGTCAGGAAAGACTACTTTTATTACCTGTTGTTTAAAAAAAATATATATCTGCTAACATTGTGCTCAAAAATGATAATTAGCTATGAAGGAACAGATTTAGAACGCAGGCTTTTGAATCAGAAATAAAATAAACCTGGAAATTAAAGTCTGCTCTGTCAAGAGAATTTACAGAAGCTGAATTAAAAAAAAATCCAATTTTTGCAGTTGTGTACTCATTCTGGAAAATGAAAGAAAAATAAATTGTAAGGCTCAAGAAAGTCTCATGAAAATTCAAGGAAAAAAGAAGCAGAAACGGAGATGAAAATATGTGAACTATGGAAAAAAAAAATTCATGGCTATGCCCATGATAACTTCATTAGATCAAAAGAAAAGACAAAGCAAATAGGTCACACTACTATGTTGTTATAATTGTTTTTTGTACAAGTTTTCATCAGCTTAAAAATGAAACCACATATGCCTGACTAGATCGCAGAGTTTTTCACCAGCAAACTCAATCTCCAAGAACAGGTAGGCTAATCTCAAAATTGACTCTACCATTGATTCACACATTATTGATAGCAACAGTGAAAGCAAACACAAATTTTACTCAGAAACACTTTGCAATAAGTTTCAGCCAAAACAGCAAATCTGAGTGACGCCCCTTGGAAGCAAAGCCTTGCTTCATGTCTAACGCTCAGGATTTTCATCAGCTGCCTCTGCAAGCAGAGGGGAATGCAGGTATTAAACTGAAACGTGATGTATAAAGTAGCATAACAGAAAACATGAGTTATAGTACAAGGCTGAACAATAACCAGCAAAGAGCAAACAAATTGAGGTGACAGCCTAAGGCAGAGGAAACTCAGAAAATGCTAGCACATCTTCCAGCATAAAGAATGCTTCCACTGAGAAGTAACCTGAAGGGTAAGGAAAAATAGAAGCAGGCTTCAGCTGCAGCGACGGAAACTTAGCTTTGGTGCCAGAAAAACAAATTTGGGATGGCAAGGAATAATCAGAAACCAAACCAAGTCATGTGGGAAGGCGGTGATGTCTCCGTAACACAAGGGCTTATAACTAGGTCGCTGTCGCCTATCTTTACTAGAGCCTTTCCTGGGGCTGCATGACTCACAGAGCCTTTGCCAGCTCCTGTATTCTGACCTGGAGAAGCAGGTGATAGCAAGAGACAACAAGAGAGACACAAAGTTCAGATAACAGTCCAAGAAAATGACTAAAATACAAACGAAAAAGCTCTACCATGTGGTGCAAACCAGCAATTAAACTTGGAACTGTCAAGTTGCTCCCACCAGCGACTGTGTGGGAAGTCATGAATCTCAGCACGGGAGTCAGACGTTTATCTTTGAACTGACAAACGTGATTTGTGTCATATACGGCCTCCTTGTTCTCTGACGCCAAGAGAAAGGACAACTGATAAAACAGGCAGAAAGGGCATTACCAGTTCCAGTACTGGCAGTGAGGAATTTACCTTTGCAGTTGCATTGTTCTACTTGTGAAACCAGGCTCAGACCTTGGTTGATCTCTAATAAGAACTGGTATTTCAGAGAGCTCCAGCAGAAGAGACTTCCATACCAATAAATAGTGGGGGTGACAAACAGCGAGCAAAATGAACTACACAAAGAAATGGTAGATGCAAGCAAGAATTTTCACTCACTCATAAAATTCTCCAATGTAAGACATGAGGTATGTTCACATCTAGGACAGCGTCATTTAAAGTAAAGACATAATTAAAAAATCCTTTCAAACCTGCAGGTTACTGCATTACTCATCTCTAATAGAGAAACATTTCACTTCGGAAAGAAAGAGGTGCAGAAGAAAGAGGAGGGTAGTAACAGGAGAGTTCTGAGAGAGACCTGAAGGAGAACAGAGCTCCTCCAGTGAGCAGCAGAAGCCACGGCAGTCACACCGCAGTGTGGAAGGCTGTGCAATGATAACAGAAAGTAGAAATTGGAAAGGATTGGAACAGTGTACATACAGGATGCCAAAAATACAAGGAAAGAGCTGTTCACAACTCCAAGAAAAGGCATATCAACATGAAAGCAAGATATCTGTTGAATGCTGACATAAAATTAAAAAAAAGAATATTGTAGCAGAAGCAGTTTGGAGATGGCATTTGTGACATACTATTTGTAAATCACTACAGAAGATGCCACAATATAGTTGTTCTACAAATAAGAGAAACACTGTGCTAAATTAGTAAGAGCAGGCGCACAGATGTATCGCAGAACATGTCTGGCACTCATGAAATGCCAGATTCTCTCACTTTGGAAAATCATCTTTCAACTTCTCCATTTCAAAATGACTAAATGTAAAGCAGGGGGAAAAGTGAAAAAGCGAAGAAAGCAATGAGTAGCCTTGCAGTGGTGGTAAATGGCCATCTCTGTGCTTCTTACTCAATGAAAAATGTCAGTCACTCCAAAATCACAGATATTTTTTACTGCAGTACTTTTATTTTCCTTTTAGGTCACTATCTGAGCCCTGGCTGAAGGAGCACTCTTAGCATTTTTAGCAGGGAACAGCTCTGCTCAACCAGACCGAACAGGTTACAAGCAAGGGATGTATTTTCTAAATCAGAATCTCAAGCCACAAAAGGTTACAGCTGCAGCTGTGTGACCAAAACAGCTTAAAACTGCAACTGCTTTGTTCAGATCTACCACAGCTAAGTGCCAACGCTGCTCACACAGCAGACCCATGGCGACAGTGCAGGAGGCAGGCAGGCTGAAGACACAAACCTCTGGAGCTGCACAGCTCTGGCTGGCAGAGGATGCACCCCTGACAGCCCCAGTGAGCTGACCACAGCCACAGCAGGGAGTGAGCAGCAGAGCTGGGACAGGAACCCACAACTCCTAATCTTTATTTCTGTAACCATGAGAGATGCTTCAAAATTGCCCAGCAACTCTGTCATCATATAATTATCTACTGAGAATTCTTCTCCAGAGAAATTTTAATTACACTTCCTTTCCAAGAAAGTTCAACTTCTGTGCAGAATTTAATTGTTCAGGAGGAGAAACTGCTGTAATTCTCCTATTACTGTGACCGCTGTGAGATGCTGCTCCTGTTGCAGCAGCCTGTAGTCCAAACCTCTGCCCAGAGGGAACAGGGCAGTAGCTGCACACAAACCAGCAGAGCTGCAGGAAGCACGCTGCTTCCTAATTTTGCTTGGAAGCAGCTTCTTCCTCTATTTCTATAGTCATTATGGAACTGAGCTGCAGAATCAGAGCAATGTGCCATTCTCAAAGGGTTTCCGCAGCTAAGTAGCGTGAGTAGGGAATCCCTACATCAAGTTTTGGCTCTTGAGAAAAAAAAAAAATCATAGCTGTCACTGATACTTTTCAATAGAAGTTTCTTTTCCTACTGCTGCCTAGTGAGGTGATTTCTACCTAAGTCACAGCCCATTGACTTCATAACAAATAAAGCAGAGTTTATTGCAAAACCTGATGCTAAAGACTTCTTAATCAGGCGTATTACATGAATCCATTGTAAATAAACATCAATTTTAACCATAAGATTGACTTGTTTTCATCCTTTCATGCTGCAAATTAAATATAGATTTATTGGCTGGAGCTGAGCCACTCTTTTTTTTTTTTTAAAAAAAAAAAAAGCACAAACCAGACCTCATCTACCACTGGAATACAGCTCTCCTATTTCATCTTCACTACACGACAGCCTAATAGAAAATCTGCACCCAGATAAACTTGACATATTTGTTTTTTGAAAACAGCTGAAACAAACACGACTTGTATACAAGACAGCAATGTCCGAGTCAAGCTGATTTACAAAGCAGAAAGCCAGACTAATTTTTTGGAAAAGAGAAAAAAACATAAGGTGATTCCTGCTTGGTTTTTTTTTGGAATATAAATTGGTACTGACTCTAACCAAATGCAAAGACATTTTTACTGAACTCTTCAGTAGTGATTTCCTCGGTGTTCTGAGTTAGACAAAGACATCCTCCATGTAATAAATTCAGCTCCTCTTAACCAGCACAGAAAACATGCTTGGGAACTGAGGGGAAACTTCTGACTGTGATTCTGTGCTATTTCTTGGGTGGAAGAAACTGATTCCAACAGCCACCTCTCCTCCTCTTCCCACATCGTGCCCCCAGCACACCGCCGTGCTGGGCACTGCCTGCACAGCCCTACGGTAAAGCAGAGTGGGAAACTGACTTGGCTGAAAAGCCTCCATGCTCCCAGTTGTGTGTTGGTGCTTTTTTATAATGGATCAGATCCCTAAAACCATCAATTACGTGGCCAACACAACTGCTTGGCCAGCACAACGTAAACATGCAGCACGGGAGAAGTTCTGCATTGCTGCTGCCCAAGCAGTGGGAGCATGAACAAGGAATTGGGTAACTGAGGAAACAAGCGAAGTAAGCAAATGAGAATAAGCACCACAAAAAAAGAACTGCGCAAAGGAAGAGACAGCCATCCCATCACCTGCAAACATGAAGAAACAAAGAAAGGAAAACCCACCTCCATCTACTGCAAACATGTACTTCACTAATAGCACTACTACAAAAGCTTACCCTAGGACAGCATCCCTTCACATCCTTCCCAAGCACTCTGAAGCACTGTTAGGAGAGACAGCAGAAATCTGCAGATCTCCCCATTAGGATTAGGATTAGTGACACATGAGACCAGCACACAACAAATCAGTTGCTGTTTCCAGCTTTGTAACACATGCATCAATAGCTACAAGTTATCTGACAAGCAATTTTTGCTTAAGATCTGCCTACAAATAGTGTATTAACAATCTCCTTGTGTTTCTCGATCGTTCTCATTTTTTATAGGAAAATTTAAAAAAAAAAAAAAAAAAAAAAAAAGGAAAATCCTACTTGTGAGGAGAACTCCTGGTACAGAACCAGTATCCAGTGACTGGAAGAAGGAAAGCCCAGAGACTCCTCCTCATTCCAGAAATCACACTGAGCGCAGCTCAGGAAAGCAGCAGCTCTCCACAACACCCTCTGGACATCACAT